GAGGAGAGAGAGGAGGAGGAGAGAGAGAGGAGAGAGAGAGAGAGAGGAGAGAGAGAGAGAGAGAGGAGAGAGAGAGCGAGGAGAGGGAGAGAGTTACCGGTTAGCATAGATCTGTGTTAGCATAGAACATTCAGTCAAACGTGGAAAGGAGAACCTGATAGCTTATTTCGTGAGAATAATCATCGGACAGAACAAAGCGCTGCATAGTGCAGTCTGCAAACATGAAAGGAAGGATAAAAGTTCAAGTGAAAAGCATAATTCACATCCCGATACGATTTCTCGTATTTCTTAAAGCTACTTGTCATACGTTTCACCCAGGTAAGCTTCCGGAATGCCACAGATCGGAACATCAACGCATAATCTCGAGACAGCTGCGGTCGCTCTCCGTAATACATACAACTGAATAACGGCCCAGTTTCACAGTCGCCGTCATTTCACCTTTTTGTACGATAACTTCCAAGAACATTTTGAGCATCTCAGTAATGCACAATGACCAAAACTTCGCTGAATGTATCAAATAACGTTTTTCTTGTGGATACCTATTTGAAATGTCGATAAAAAATCAAGGTTCGAATGTCAAAGGGTTTTCACCTTGAACCCCTCTCTACTGTGCTAATTTGTATGCATGAATATTTGCTAAAATCCATCCATAAGACATGGTTTTCCAGGAATGGCTTTATGCAAGTATAGTAATTTACTGCTTCAGTTCAGTTAACACTTTAGCAGAAAATGCGCCCAATTGTCCGACCTCTAAAACTAGCGACGATAAAAAGAGACATCACAAGCTGCACATTTCAAGTCCCGTATTACAACGTAGTACCTACGACATAAACCCAGGCTGAGGAAGCACTGCCTGGGATGTCCATTAGGATAGCCCCAGCCCGCCCATTCCCAACAATTACTGAGTTTATTATGCAAGATAAGAACGCCACAAGATTCTCGTTCAGCAAATTACAAACCGGACTAACAGGTCTCTCTCTCTCTCTCTCTCTCTCTCTCTCTCTCTCTCTCTCTCTCTCTCTCTCTCTCTCTCTCTCTCTCTCTCTCTCTCTCTCTCTCTCTCTCTCTCTTTCTCTTTCTTTCTCTCTCTCTCTTTCTCTCTTTCTCTATCTCTTTTTCTCTCTCTCTTTCTCTCTCTCTCTCTCTCTCTCTCCTCTCTCTCTCTCTCTCTCTCTCTCTCTCTCTCTCTCTCTCTCTCTCTCTCTCTCTCTCTCTCTCTCTCTCTCTCCCTCTCTCTCTCGCTCTCTTTCCCTCCTGCTCATCCTGCCCTCCCTCATCCCCACAGCACAGAGTACTGCTCACTGGAGGCCCAGCTGGGTGACCAGGGCTTCTACGAGCTATCCGTCAACAGCTCTGGATGTCATCTCACCACAGTGCAAGAGCCCCGCGATGTTTATAAACGTAAGTGCAAGCACGGAATTCCCCGAGCATAAACCACATAATATTTACACATGTGAGTGCAGGAGCGCCGCTATGTTAATTAAACGTGAGCGCTGAGCGATTGACAGACATCGTACATTATTATTTACTATCAAATTATATTTTTCAGACGATCAAACTTCTTCTTCAAAATAACTTCCAAGGAACTCAGTATGGCCCCTAATTCAATATACTCTGGTATGGCCTTGAATTCAGTCACTTCTTTCCCCGTGACCAACTTTCTCAACGACCATCAATCGCACGCTTGTTATTCACCGCCGTCCCTCCGTTTTTTACAGCGCTGTGGGTTTTTGCACTGGTCCTGCTGGGTTTGGCCATCATCCATGGCCTATGGTCGTGCATTGCTACGAGGGTGCGGAACAGGAGGGTGAAAGACGCACCCGATCTGCCAACGGTGGATGATGCTCAGAAACAGAAACAGAAGTCGCGACTGGCGTCTCTGGACGTGTTCAGAGGGTAGGTCATCATGCTGGAAATGACGATGATGTTGATGACTAACGCTGATTGTGGTGCATTGATAAAATCCCTCGGAAACGCAAATGATTACTTTACTGGCAATGTCAGGTCGGAGAAGATATTACTCATGCATTTACTTACAAGCTAATCATTATTTATGCCTTAATGTTTGCATATTTGACATGTTTCTTCTTGTCAAAAGGATAACTTCTTCTTTCTTATTCCTACAAAGCATATTAAAAATAATGGACAATTTTATGCATATCAACAATTCAGCTACCGTAACGATAAACTAGCATTTTCATACCGAACGACTGCATGCAACGCATCTTTAACAATTGGCAATGAACAAGCACAATGTTTTAACACGGCGGCTCCCATTGTTTTTTTTTTTCGCAGTGTGACGATCCTGGTAATGATCTTCGTCAACCAGTGGCAGGGCCAGTACTGGTTCTTCGAGCACAGTACCTGGAACGGTCTGCAGGTGGCCGACCTCGTCTTTGCCTGGTAAAACCAACACACATCCTAGTTAAACTACGAGCGTGTTTGTCGAAGACCAATATAAATTGAACAGCAACACAATTTCTGTTTTAGTGCTTATTGGAGGATCATTATTAATGTAAAAATCAAGTATTTCTTTATTGTCATGACCTTTCCTCCTTTTCAAAAATATGCTGAAAAAGTGTTAAAAAAAGTGTGAAAAAGTGTTCTTTTGGATATTTCACTGATGAAGGCCTGTGGCCGATATATTTGAAAACGCTAAAACAATATAATTTTGGCTCAGCATATTTTTGAAAAGGAGGAAAGGTCATGACAATAAAGAAATACTTGATTTTTACAGCAACACAATTTCCTTGCAGTTAATTATGCGTTTATGTTTGGCCACCAAAACGATTTGAGAATTTGTTAGCTGGTAAAACTATCTCATCTAGGAACGAACTGGTAAGGATCCTGGTTAAAGAAGTAGTGTGAAATAATCCACCAAAACGACCAATTTCATATTGACTTGACACTTTCTCTCCTGGTTTTCAGGTTTATGTGGATCATGGGAGCCTGCATTCCGCTCTCTCTCAGCTCGCAGATACGGCGAGGGAAGTCTATGAAGAAAATGGTGTTCCACATCTTCAAGGTAAAAACTGACATAGGGGACCAATCGAGCACTTTGCTTTAGCCACAAAGAGCATGGGATAGAGAGCAGCTAAGAACAGAAAGTCATTCTGGAACAGCGTATGCAATGATCCCGCCTACAACAGCGCATGCCGCATCAACGTTCATTTGTTGATTTTGATGGTTAGAAATCGCACAACTTCAATATTTATTAAATATTCAGCATCTGTAAAGTGATTGTACGACTAGAAAACCGCAGTAACCTAGGAGAAGCATGCATATTTGCATAGGACGAAAAAGTGACGGCTTCAAGTCCTTATCACGAATAGGTATGTCGCTAGCTTTCTGTGCCCAGCTGCCACGAACCTGTTTCGCGAGCACATACCGAAGGCCCCTCTCTTCTTCTTCACATCTCGGTCGCTTATTGGCCCTTGAACTCCCTTTTCCACTTCATTCGCAGCGCTCCTGGTGGCTCCTCATCATCGGCATCTCCCTCAACTCTCTGGGCGGATACAACAAGCTGGAGACGTACCGCCTTCCTGGTGTGCTGCAGCGGTTCGCCATCACATACCTGGTGATGGCCCTGGCCATGCTGCCTGCCATGGCACGCAAACCGAAACTGCCGGAGGTCAGTACAGGGATGGAGAAAGAAGAGGAAGAGGAGGGGAGGGAAAGGGAGTGAGGTGATGGAAGGAGTCGGGGGAGGAAAAATAGCTTGAGGGAGAGGTCATGTGTGGTCAGGTCAAGTCAGGCTTGATGGTGGGTGCAAACATGGGCATCCGGCATCGAAAGTCAAGGCTTAGGGCGTGAGGAAGCGTCGGGAGCGAGACAAAAGGATGCGACACGCATCGTTGTAAGTTTTTCCCTGGTCATGTGTTCCATTATTTTAGCCGATTGAGCATTTGCGACTTTTACAATCGGTAGTTATTTTCACTTCTGATAATCTTTGATCGAGATGCTTCAGGGCAAACCAAGCTCCGATCTGTTTCAAACACATTCTTTCCAAATGACACCACGCTTGTCTCCAGGAGAAGAGTTGGACAACTCACGTGTACGACATCACATGCATGTGGCCCCAGTGGATCCTGGCCATCGCCATCATCATCGGACACACGTGCATCATTTTCCTGCTGCACGTGCCAAACTGTCCCACGTGAGTAACTCCCCACGGGAACCTACACATCACCGACAAACCCATACGGAAACCCAAAAGCTGACCTGGGAGATATGCTCGCTATCGCTGTCGGTCATTGATGTAAGTATGTATTGACATCACAATTCTTCCACACATGGCATGACGATTACAGTTTGATTTCAACTTCCACTGGTGATACTTGCTCAATGACGTAAATATTTTTCAGAGGGTATCTGGGCCCTGGCGGCCTCTACAACAACTCGACAGTGGACGGGTCATGTGTAGGTGGCGCCACCGGTTACATTGATCGTCTGGTGTTCGGCAAGTCGCACATTTACCAAAATCCGACACCGAAGGCCACCTACGGGACGGCAGCCTTCGATCCCGAGGGACTGCTCGGTGAGATTCGACAATCGAGCTCGCTATCTGCAGTGATCGCTTTGTTTTTTTTTTGTGATCGCTCTGGATGTTTTCCTTGTATTATCAGGCCGTTATTGCTAATTATCTCGCCTTTGTCAACAGTCAATTATCAAAGTACCCAATAAATATAGTTGAGTTAATCAGCTGAACAAAACTACGTCGTCAAATGTGTTACCTTCAGTGCACCTATTTTACAGGGTGACACAAAAAACGGTCATCACCAAATTTCGAATAACTTCGGAAGTTTTATTCAGATCATCACCAAACTTCGGCCACTTAAGGTCACACCTATGTAGCAGACATCCACCAAGTTTCAAGTCTTCACTACGAATACTTTTAGTACAGTGTGTGTTTTACTGACGCTCCACAATGTGCTCCAGGTGAGCGCCACGGCGCTGCAGGGCGTAGGCACACTTGCATCCGGCGGGCAAAGTTGTCGATAACCCGATGGCTGTGCACTTTACAGAGTGCAATGGCCTCTGGAGACAGTGCTCAGGGGGTGTGCTACCCCTGAAACGTTATTCTTATCGGGTTAACGGCAACTTTGCCCGCCGGATGCAGGTGTGCCTACGCCCTGCAGCGCCGGGGCGCTCACCTGGAGCACATTGTGGAGCGTCAGTAAAACACACACTGTACTAAAAGTATTCGTAGTGAAGACTTGAAACTTGGTGGATGTCTGCTACATAGGTGTGACCTTAAGTGGCCGAAGTTTGGTGATGATCTAAATAAAACTTCCGAAGTTATTCGAAATTTGGTGATGACCGTTTTTTTTTGTGTCACCCTGTAAATGCAATCTTACTCAGAACACGAGCCCAGTACCTACACGTCAACTGACAAGTGTACTCTACCACCCGTTTGCAAATTCCTGACCGACCCACCTTTCCCGATATTCCTAGGAGTCATGCTGGCGTGCATCAGTGTCTTCCTTGGTGTCCAAGCCGGGATGACCCTGTACATCTACAAGGACTGGCGCTCCCGCGTTATCCGCTGGACCGCCTGGGGCGTTGTGACCGGCGTCATCGCGACTGGCCTCTGCGGGGGATCACAGGATGGGGGCGTCATCCCGGTCAATAAGAACCTCTGGTGAGAAAGTTTGGTGGTTGAGAGAAGGGACTAGGGAGAGTGGGGCTCGGGAAACGGGAGGAAGGTCATGACTGTTGATTAGTCGTGTGGACGCTGAATGACGTTCGTTTTGTTGTTGTTTACATTCTTTTGGGTACGTGATAATGGAGTAAATAGCGGCACGCTTCAAGGAGCGAAAATGCATTACTGAAGATGTCGCTTGAATGCCCGTAATACTCGTAATGGCTGTGTTGGGGATGACAAGACCACGATACAGCTAACTCGTATACTTTTCCTTCAAACAGTCCGGTTCAATTTTTATCACTTACGGGGACGAGTAACCCACGTGTATCTTAACGGTCACGTCAATTTCTGTTTGAAAGAAACCGCAAATGTTAAACGATGACGTTATAATAAAACGTGAGATCTAGCGGTTCATATTTTTTTTTTTTGCCTTTTCTGTATGGATGGTTAAATTTGAGACACTTGTTAGAGCAGCGATCTGACTGACCACTAGGCATTCGATGCTGCCTTTTCAATAGCATTTTTTACTTCTATTGACAAATGACAAATTGTTTGCTTCTTCAGGTCGCTCTCCTACGTCATGGTGACCAGCTGTTTCGCCTTCTTCCTGCTGACCGCCTTCTACATCGTCGTGGACATTCTGAAGTGGTGGACCGGAAGCCCCTTCTTTTATCCCGGTAAGACTTCTAAACTGTATTAAAAAGGGAACACCAGTTTCTGTATAATTTTCTTTACTGTTACTGGTGACTCAACTCGTGCTCCAATGCATCTACATCGATCAACACAACATAAGAATAACAAACAGGACACATCAGCCAACAATCTAGCATCGGTCCATAGGAGCCTGGGACCCCGTGAACCTAAGACTTGAAGCTCTGAAGACTGATGAGGCATTTGTAGACCGCAGAACTATCATAACTCCGTTCCCATAGTTTCCCAAGAGAAATCGACATCCTAGGGAAAATTGCTATCACGGCGGGAAACACCCGACGAAATAAAGTCGACTTGGCGAGCCAACTATGCAGCATTGCCATAAGGTAGATTTGGCAGAAAGGAAAATCGCTAGGCGACGTTTTGCCCGATTCATTTCGAGATAAGCGATCGCAACGCATCGCTGTTGTGCTGCACACAGCCATGGCGGCTATGGGCTGAATGTGTTGATGTCACTTTGAAACGGCAATGATCATATGGTCATTTACAGCGATAAGTTTATTGAAGTTTATAACTGGCAGACAGCGGTTGTTATCAGATGATAGCACTCAATGTACAGGGATCAACAATGTGCGGTGTTTGTCTATGATTTGCCCCAAAGGAGTCGCTTGAATCCGGGACGCGACTTGTCACATCAAACACTTGTGCACGCATTTAATTGGTCACCAGGCATAACGCGAGTCACAGCTCTCTCAAATCGCAGGGAGGCATTGATGACTCACATTAGAGAATGATCAACAAAACCAAACTGTGCTGCCCCTTGCCCACGCAAGGTCTCGGGAGATATAATAACGAAACTTTATCATCAATCTTATCTTTGTCCCGGTGTGCTAATGATCCCATATAGGTATGCATAGCTTTGACGTGATTCAAGCGACTTCCAACCAACACTTCGCGCAATCCATAAATAAAACAAGAGTTATTCCACATTAGTATCTGCAAAATAAAAACTGCAACCCGGACTTTGCATCAGCTGGAGCGTTCACTAATGATTAAGGGTAAAACGGTGATCGGAATCTGCCTATTGACATGAAAAATGGCCACTCCCGTCCACTCCCAACGCCCAATGTCTACTGCCCGCAAGACCCACGATTCCAATGGTCGGAAAGTACAAGGTCGCAGGCTCTACGGCACTTCCTGATGACGTGATCAGTGGGTGGATTTAATATTGATAAGGAAGGTCGCACAGAGCATTTTCTACATTTTTCATCGGCAATGCCATCCTTCCTGCGTGTTCGGTTATTCCTTACCGTCGGAGCAGTAATCTTCTGTTGATATGTTGGTGCATAGACCACTTAACACCAACAACAAAACACATTTATTAGACATAAAATGGAAATAAGCAGATAGTCCAGGTGGTGGTGCAAAAGCTGATGCTTAAATCGAGGCACCACCACCTGGTAACGTAAACAGAATAAATGAATATGGTACAATCCAGGGCCGCGGAGAGTCAGGTCGGCTGCCGCGACAGTTTGCATTGATAAGCGGTGATAGCGGGCCGGCGCCAGTCCACCGAGACGGGGCTATATCAGTCTGGAGGTGTTTTTGAGGAAGGATTGAAAGGCAAGGAGAACCTGAGGTGCGTTTTGCTTTGTCGTGTTGTGTCCGTGTAGAAGTGTGTCTAATTTCATGGTGTCTGATTGGTTGTTGAAATCAATGTTGAGGTGTGTGGATACTTGTGCAAATAGTGTGGACCTCGTCAGTGCGTAGTGTGGGCAGTGAAGGATGAAGTGTTTTGTGTTTTCTTGTGTGTAGCCACAGGCGCACTCGGGGCTTGTTACTTTTTGTATAGAGTACTGGTGTGCGTTTAACTTGGACATCCCCAGTCTGATTTGTGTGTGCAATGTGTTCCCAACCTTAGTTCCTAGTGCGTTGTAGTGTGGGGGCTGTGGTGTGCCGAGTAGTAGTTTAATGCTTTGTTTGAATTTTTTCATCTCTTGGCAGTTTCGTATGTGCGTAGGCAATTGGTTCCAGTGCAGGGATGTTTTGGGAATCAAGGATCTCTGGTAGCAAGATTTTGTAGTTCGCGGGACTGTGTGGTGGTTTTGATTTCTGAGATTTCGTCCTGCCGTGCGCCCTCTCTCCTCTGGGATCATGTTTGTAATGTAGTTCGGTATGCGAGGTGTATTGTCTATGATCTTTTTGTATAGAAAAAGCCTGTGGATTTTTCGTCTCGTCTTCAAACTGTCCCAACCGAGTTCGTCTCTAAGTTTGTCTGTGGATGTCCGATGTAGTGTGTTCGTCACGAGTCTAGCGGATCTGTTTTGTAGTCTTTCCAGTCTTAATTCGTCGTGTGCAGTGATGTGTCCGTCGTAAATGCAGTCACAATAGTCGAAGTATGGTCGCACGTAGGTCTTGTATATGGTGTTTAGTGTTTGTCGTGGAAGGAATTTCGCAATTGGGTAGAGGGGGCTGAGGGCGATGTTTATTTTTTGAATGATTGTGGTAACGTGGGTCTTGAAACGCAGGTCTTCTGATAGAGTTAATCCCAGATGCTTATGAGTGTCCGTTTTTGATATTAGTTGCCCATTGAATTGAATTTGAGGTGAAGTATAGTTATTTCTTGTGCTGAATGTCTGAGTTATGGTTTTTGATGAACTAAAAGTAATGGCCCATTGCTGTGCGTACTGCTCAATTGTGTTAAGGTCTTCTTGAAGTGAAAGTTGTGCTTGTGTCATGTTGTCGGGTGTGTATGATGCGTATAATGATATGTCGTCAGCGTAAAGTAGGGCGGTGTTTTTCAGTTGTCCAGGGAGTCCGTCAAGGTACAGGAGGGCAAGAAGTGGACCTAAAATTGAGCCTTGCGGGCATCCGGAGTTTAAAGTCATTGTCGTTGAGTATGAGTTCCCTATTCTTACTTTCTGTCTTCGGTCAGTTAGGTATGATTTCAGCCAGTCGAGAAGAGAGCCAGTGATAGAGAAGTCGTTTTCGCACTTGAACAGGAGACCTTTATGCCAAATCTTGTCGAAATATTTTGTCACGTCTAAGTAAACAGCAGTAAAGTCTTGTCCTTTGTCCAGTGATTTGTAGAGGCTGTCAGTCATGTAGGCTAGTTGTAGTTGCGTGCTGTGGTGAGGCCTGTACCCGCTTTGATTGTCAGAAAGAAGCGAATTTTCGATGAGGTGGTCGTAAATATGTTTGAATATGATTTTTTCTAAAATTTTAGAGCAGCAACATAGAAGGCTAATGGGTCTGTAATTCTGTGGGTCAGCTGCCGATCCTTTACGTTTGAAAATTGGTGTGACATTGGCTTCCTTCCAAAGATTAGGAAATTTTGAAGTTCTGAGAGACATATTAAATAATTTTGCTAATGGTTCTGCTATGAGAATTGCTATCATTTTTAATATTTTCGTGGGGAGTTGATCAGGGCCAGTAGATTTGTGTGGGTCGAGAGAATTTAATGCTGACAGTACCTCTTGTTCGGTTACGGTTATTTCGTTTAGTTCGGGTACAGGCCTGGTTCTCGTGTTTGGAGGTGGAAGCGTAGGTGTGTTGTGTAGTTGTGTCTGTGCGACAAAGTGTCTATTAAGGATGGTGGCTTTTTCGCCATCATCTGTCGCTACTTGTCCATTGTGTGTCTCTAGTGGAGGTATTTGTGTGCATGGTCTTGGTCGAATAGCTTGTTTAAGAATTTTGTGGTACTGGTGTGGATTGTGTTTTTGTGTGAGGAGCTGATTCACTTGTCGTTTGGTGTGTATGTCTTTGCAGTCTTTGTTCAGTTTGGTAACAAAATTTCTCTGAAGTCGCCAGGCTTCCCAGTCACAGCTCGAGTTCGTTCCTTTTGCAATTTTAAAAAGTTTGTCTCGTTTTTTCATGTGATGTTTCAAATGTCTTGTTATCCAGGGTTTATCGCCAGGTTTAACGTGAATAATTTTTGTAGGAATTGTCTCACGGGCGGCTTCCAAGATTGCTTGTGTGAATTTTTCGGTGGCGGTGTCTATGTCATTGTTAAGTAACTCGTCCCAGTCTGTGGTCTGTATGAGTCTGGTCAATTTGTCTGCGTCGAGTTTGCTGTAGTCCCAGATCGTCCTAGATTGTGTAGGTGAAGTGGATGATGTGAGGCTAGTTGACAGGTAAATGGGGAAGTGGTCCATGTTGCCAAATGAGGACAGAATCCCAGAGCTTGAGAATCCCAGGTCCCAAGCGCTCTAATTACCAGCGCAGTGGCGTCTAAGATCTTCATCTCAGACAGCCTGACCAAAACCAACCAGGACATCCTCTACCGGGGACGACAACTGAAAAAGGACGGCCGTCTCTGGGCCGTCTGGTCCGACGCCGGGAAACTCAAGGCAAAGGCACGTGACGGCGATCCCACCACCGTCATCCGCTCCTTCGCCGACCTGGCTCGTCTCGTGGGCGACGACCCCGTGCCGCCCCCTTCGTCGGCGGGCGCGGCCGCTGCGGCGGGAGGCTCTGGCAGCGGCGGCGCCGCGGCCGTCGGTGGGCGAGAGGATGCCGACGACGGCTTCACACTGGTAGACGCCGGTTCGAGGAGGCCCCGACGCGAGGCTTCAGTCCGTAAACGCGGGGGCGCCGCGCGCTAGAAGTGTTCTCGCGATGAACACTGGGCGACGGCGTTGGCGGCGCCCCCCCCCCCCCCCCCCCCATTCGCGGCTCCTGGGTGCGCCGCTGAGACGCTGCGGCCGCTCGGGTCATGTCGGGTCACTCCGGTCAGTCCCGCCGTGGCGACCGGGGAGTCGTGTTGCGTGCGTGTGCTGTGCGAGCGGCGACGAACTAACTGACCGTGGGCTGTCGCTGGATGGAAGTGATGCCGCGAAGGGTGACTCGAGTTGCTGACGAGGCTGTTACGCGTCTGGTGCGGCCGCGGGTGTGGTGACTGGGCGCTTCGCCGGCGCCCAGCTCTAGTTGCGTCTCGAATATGACCTCGGTCTAAGGACGGACACATGAGCGACTGAGGCGACTAGACGCACCTGAACTGAGGTAAACCCAGCGCCCTGATACTGCGCAGAGACAGTCCTGCGGCGCTGGGGGGGGGGGAAGGGAGGGAAGGGAGGGGGGGGGGTCCGGCAGGGGAATCCGGTTAGGGAGTCCGGAGGGGGGGGGAAGAAGGACGCTAAGTGTGTAATGCATGTGTGTGCAACTCATGCATGTGTGTGCAACTCAGAACTGTGTGCAAACTAGCTAACTTAAGCCACTAATTGAATTAACAACAGACAACTGAACTCACCACGATGTTTCGTCATTATAATGCACAACGAGTTACCACTCAGTCCCGCCGCTGGTCCGCCGGCCGTCGTGCCGTCGGGTCGTCCCCTCGCTAGCGACACGTAGCCCACAGCAGCGCGCCCCCACAAACCCCTGAGCTGTCTGTTGGGACGCAGCCATGCTGGCTTCGCCTCCTTCCCTGGGTGGTTCAACCTACTGCCTGCTTGTGTTATGTATATAAATGCCTAACCTTTTATAAAATTGCTCTTATTTGCTCTGCTTGCTTATGGTTAGCATCTAATACACAACAGTTTATGTTCACTGTTTATGTTCACAGTATTGTAGACTGTTTTGTTCACTGCTTATGTTCAGTCTCTCACCCACAACTGTTTATGTTCACTGTTCATGTTCACTGTTTTGTTGACCCTGTCACGTTCGGCTGCCGCGGCTTGTTTTTGACTTTTGACTTTCAATAATGGTCGACCAGTGCTTGGCGGGTCGGTGCCGGTCCGACGAGCGCCGCGCTGACCCCTATACCTACCCTTCACAGTCCTTCAGCTTGCGCACACACAATCACACATTCTACTGTCCTTCAGCTGTACAGAACAACACACAAATCCTGACATCCCCAGAACACACACCTTACACTGCAAAGACATCCTTAGCACATCCTTCTCAACACATCACAATTAAACAATGGGAGTTGTTTGCTCTGTGCCCCATAACAAAACTACTTCTAATCATCAGCGGTATCGAGACAAATCCAGGACCAAACATCAAACAATTAAATTTATGTCACGTGAACATCAACAGTACGCCATCAAAAATAGACGAATTGTCGGCTTTTGTCAACCACAACAGCATCGACATTTTAATGACAAGTGAAACAAAACTAGACGACTCCGTGCATCCTAGTCTTTATGAATTACCCGATTTTCACACGCCTTACCTGCACAATAGAAATAGAGACGGTGGAGGAACGGCGATATATGTGCGGGCAAACCTGGCTGTCAAGAGACTAGCAAATTTAGAGCTAGAAGAGGAGGACTGGGTCTGGGCAAAGGTTTCACTGAACGGAACATCCATAGTAGTTTGTAGTGTATATCTTCCACCAGGTCTCTCAGCCGAAAGACTGGACGAATTCAATAGTAGGTTCATCGAAAGTGTTTCTCTTGCCAACTCGCTTTCACCACTAGCAATATTTATACTCGGGGACTTTAACACTGGAAATATATTTTTAGAAAATATAACACCTATGACCATAGACGACAGACCGACCATAGACCATGGCCTGTGACTCAGCACACCTATAGTATGTATATAGTGGACCACTACAAGGTATGCAGAGGTATATAGTTGATGGCATAACCTTTGGATATAACGAGCGTACTCCTCTCGTTCCGCACCCCAACTAAATGATGTCAAACCACTAGACACATCTTCCGTTATTTATTCACATTCGATGACAACACAAAAGCAAATATTCTAAATAGCCACTTGCTTTTGTGTTGTTATCGAATGTGAATAAATATCACAATGCCTGACACGATACATACATCTTCCGTTTCAGGTCGGAACGCTCTTCTGATGTACGTGGGACACGAGGTGACGTTCGAGATGTTCCCGTTCACGTGGCAGTACGGGGACATGCAGAGCCACTTCTGGAGGCTCGGAGAGGCCCTGTGGACCGTTATGTTCTGGCTCGTCGTCTCCGTCTGGATGCACGAGAAGAAATACTTCTGGAAACTGTAACTTTGTCAACCAGTGTCATCTTGGCTAATGATTGGCGAATAGCGGTGAAAGTGCCAAAACAGTCCAGATTCTGGACTTGCGCGTGACGATTAATTGGCGAAAACGTGTTTAAGTGCCAAGATAGGTCAATTGGAGATGTTAGTAAAGATGCCAGTACTGGCATACTACTTAGTATCAAGATGATACTATGGGTGCTTCTGATTGTTCCAGTGCCAATAAAAATAGTAATTTCAGCAGCGGCTATGTCAATTAAAGGTTCGGTGTCAATGGGCGCGTAATAGTAGTGTCGACATTGCATGGTGAGAGCACGGAAACTAAATGGATGTTTATCACCCATCTAAAGCTAATAATCATTCCATTTTCTTTCATTTACTGTGCTTAAATAGCGACAGGTGTCCATGAGTAACCATCATTAATGGATCTATATTCAGTCCCTGATAGACATGTCTCGCTTTGAGCTGTTGTTTTGCTGCATAACAAGTGCCAAGCGCAATGGACATGAAGGGACTATTCGGGATAATAAATGTCAGCCGCGGACAAGGAAGATCGCAGCAAGGTAGATCGGAGCTCATGTACTTGATTTCTCATACATTATATACATAATTTGCGAGTCAGGGAGGATTGAATCATGACAAACTCGAAATAGCAATGGGACTGGCAAAATATTTTCAATGATGTCGCTTTTTTGCACTTAGTCAAAACAGCTTTTTCAAAATTGTCAGGGAACTCAGATTTGTTTTTTAATAGAAAAACAAAATTCTAACGAATAGTGTTCTAAGTTCTAACTATTGACAACAAACCTTCGGTTAAGTTCTTAGTCACTAAGTAGTCAACATTATGGCAGGTAAGGCAGAACTTCTTACAAGCGATTGGCAGCAACATTTGACCCCGTGAACATCAGTCTTCACCCCATAGGTCTGTTAGCACTTTTTTTACGTAAAACCCTGATTCATAACCCGCCAAACATTTAATGCACCATTGTTTAACTACATTATGGTCATTCTAGACACGACAAACGTGCCGATAGCGGCGTCCGGTGTCTTGTTTGAGGAACTTACATTGTTAGCATATAGCATGCTTGATTTTTTCATCTTCCAAATAAGCACTTATTTCTTACACATCAAGAATGTCAATAGTGACATAGCAATTCTTGAGGAAAGATCATCTTTTTTATACTTACAATTCCTCTAACACGTCGAAATGTGAAAAAGACGTGACCAGCAGCTCTCAGTATCGCATCATTTGCGATATATTTCACAAATTATCAATGCGAAGATCTTCGGTTGCTAGCTGGCCGTTTCAACCATAATGTCATCATTTCGGAAATTGTAAGCTTTGCTCCGCGTCATCAAAACGCCACTCATCTATTGCATGCCATAAATCATCAAACGTCCGGGTCACCATATCACAACACAGGAAAGCCAAGTGTTCATACGGACCCAAGGTCGCCACAGCAGGTATGACGACAACATTTGCAGGTGTGACAATCAATCCCTCAGTTCCCCGTTCCTCGTCACTGGACGAAGGATACCGACAGTCAATTAATATGGCTATAATTGATGAAACAAGGATGTCTGATGCTCAACGGAAGCAGACATGGTCACACACGACTTCTGTGGCACCACAAGTGTCCAATTATGTTTAATTGATGTGAAAACGGTGTAAGAACATGAAATATCACGTTGACATCCTGACCTAAATAACTTATTAGGGGTGGACAGCTTGAACCTAATTCGTTCAGACATGAAACATGAACATATCCGCTTCATTCATCATCTGTTGTCAGTGGAAGCAGTCGCCAGTTTCACTGAAGAACGCCATTTTTTCATACCCCTTGGCACAGGTAAACCGTGCAATAAGCCCGGGTGATTCACAATATCCACACATTGGAAAACCCTCCCCCCACACCGCGGCAGACACAGCCTAAAAAACAACTACCGTGTTACAATGTTGGGGTATGCTGCTGCTGCACGGTATTGCGCAGAAATATCGAGGAAAGCCGCATCAAGAATTCCAAAAATTCGAATGATTGATAGCCTCGATGTGCAAAATATCCGGCAAAAGGTGGAATTCTTTTTAACGTGGTGCTACTGATTTAGCAAACCCGGCCAGATAGATTTTTGGTTCATTCTTAGACAGATTTTAAGAGGACCTCACGCAACGCCGACGTATAACGTATAACGTCACCATCGGACCAAACTAGGGGCAAAAGAGAAAAGGGGAGCTAAAATGTAAGTGAGCAGCCATTAAAATCGATGATCGGATGGTAATTTCAACAGTGCACCTCCCGCACCACGTCTAGCGGTAAAATGGGTCATGACCATGACCACCGCGTTGTCCCCCATCACCACTACCAGTGCTGCTAATTCGGTACGTCATTGTAGCCGCTGTTACTCATTAAAAATGCAGTTGTTATTGGGTTCAAACATTGTCATGCTGCATTATTCTCGGACGGACACACAACTACAAGAAAATGCGGTTTTGTTTTCCAAACGACATAGCAAATTAGTGACAAGACAACCATAAGGCGATGCACGGTGCACATATCGCACGTACGCTAGCGCTCAAAAGCAGCACCGCCGTTGGGAAGCCCTGGCGATTTTTCATGGCGAACTGACAATCGCAGGAAACTGGCTGACAGGTCTGCTATCGAGCCTATTGACTGGGCGCATCACGCACCATTCGACAAGACAGGGGCACACATGGCGCTTCAGCTGTAGCCGGAGACGAGTCCGGCACGTCAGCTGGAACTAGCGACGACAGCGGCGTGACAGTCGAGACTGGCGAAGAAAGCAACGCATCAAGCAGGTTACTCTGATTAGCGAGCAGTCACCAGGTCACTTCTTTGACATAGGTTTTGATGACGAATAATCTCTATTGTTTCTTTCCTTATCGAGCTACGAATGACGGATGAGGGAAACAAAAGAGGATTGAACAAACAAAGAATGTTTTCGAGATATTTCCTAGGAATGATACGGTTAACAAACAAGGCAGCAGTAGCAAAGTAGCTCGACAAAGCAACAAAGGTGAGCTGCATGGTTCTAGCAGCCTAAGCATCCCAGCTCCAGTTACTCCCAACCCTTTGGCTTACTAACAACGCGCAGATGATTATCACACGACACATATCGATGACCGCATCCGATGGCTCAATCACGGCCCACATGATTTAGGTACTCATGCCTCCATAGGCTTCAGACCGACGGTACATTTTTGCCGTCTCCCCATCCAGTGCAAACTGCACATCCAGGAAAATGTCGCCTTCGAGTCGACACAAAGGCAGGCGAAGTGCATCCGCCATTAAAACTGATGCTATTGTTTGATCCGTCTTCAGTTGAAGCTCGTGGGTTTGCTGATACAGTGCTGCCACTTGCGTGAAATCATGAAGGTGAGAAGGCGACCGGGCGACGGGGTCCTCCCAGTGGTGTTTGAAAACAAGTACCTCTTTTGTAAGCGTGCAATGCGATTGAAGTGGGTTAGAAACGTGACTGAAGACGGTGGCACAGAACTGGTAAAGCAGCAAAAGAGCTCTTTTCTACAAATAATGTACTGAGAGATTTGGGCTTCCGCCAGAACAAACCCATATATGTTTGGAACTTTCCGACTATAGTCTGTTCCATATCGAGCTTGTGGTCGGCCGAAGAACATTCAGCAATTCTTTTCTTCGTTCAATTATTAGCGTCTTATCATCATGCCAGGCCAACCGTATCTCCACACAGCAGTGCGTTTGCTGAAGCATCAATCCCACTAAAGAAATTGCATTGCATCTGAATAGCAAGCATGCCAAATTTTGAGACAGGTTTTTCCAATTATTTCTATTTACTTCAGACCATGATAGAAAAGACCAATCTAACATCACATTACCAGGAAATCTAACACCACATTCAATACAGCGCCATGGACAATGAACATTGAACCGAACAGTTGACTCTTTTTGACTCAATCTCTTTGACTAAATTACGCATGATGGGGGCATCAATTTATTGCCGCTAAGCGTTGAAAACATTTTGTCGCTGCTGTACTCAGCAACGGCTATGGCAAACACAGAAGAAAAAAACGTTCACTTTCGAATGAGAGACTCCTATGAGCATTAGCATAAACCCTCAATAACAGGCAATTATGATCATCTCACAACAACACTTCGTCGAATAGCATGACTCATTCCCTCTACAGTTATCAAATGACATAAAAACGCACTTTTATTTGAGATATTCATATATGGCCAACACATCTTTCCTCATTAGCATGAAACAATTTCCGCCATTGTCCATTCAGAGATCCTCGGGTGTGCATGAGGGACAATTGTCAGAGAAGAAAAATCACCACAGGTACTGTCCGCCATATTGGGAGATCACCACAGCCGCCCATAAACGGCGGGCACACTTTCCTCATCCGTGCATGGAGCATTTTACGCCTTAGGTTTTCGCAAATGGTACCTAAATGCAAAACAGTGTCCAATTAAGTAAATGTGCAGCTGCTAGTTTCTCAAAGAAATTCCGGCTCAATCAAAAGAAGTAAAAATAAGTCAAATTTAGTGAAAAACGGTCAAATTAAAAACAGGCAGAAGAAATGATATAATTTTCGGTGTCCGCCGGCAAATCCGTCACCATCCAACACGTGATCAGTGATCGCAATTATTCATATGTTCCTACTAGGTGCTTTTTCAAATGAGTTTCATAATCTGCTTATGAGAAACTGTGATTTAATGGTCAATTTTAGTTGACAGGGGCGATTTAGGATGCATTTACCGTATGAATTTACTTAGGGAACTGACGCAAACCGGAACAAACCGGACTTCGATTCCACAAGAAATCTCACACAAAAGTCTAACGCAAACGTGAAATATGATACCGAAATATGACACCAAATCAATCACAATCACATCAATGACGCAAAAGTCAATAGCCTTAACCATAGATAACATGAATCATGCTATCTACGCCTGCATTCATTGTTCTCCAAAGTTGATCCCTCCAAATGACGGATCAGCTGAGCAATGACACCGATAATCTCCTTATGAAAATCCCCATGAGGAAATATTGTGACAAAGTTGAAGAGACGTCTTCGTTTCCTGTGTGTCAGCGACTAACTGAGCCATGTGAAGGTCACATCAATGTAGCATCGAACAGCAGCGCAGGAAAGCTGGTGGAATCGGTAGAATTTTAACAAATGTATGGCTTGCAGGGCTGTACACTCGCGGGGAAAACAAAGACGCCGTTAATTTTACTGTTAGAGATCCCCTAAGCACAGCAGCATGGATAAATTTATATTGGAGACGCCAAACGTATGCATATTCTGTTAAATGTTTCTTTCATTATCAGCTAAAGCCGCTTTACAACTACGCGATGCCTCAGTTTTTGACCCTTCGTATGTTTTTGAACATTCGAACAATCGTATACAAACAAGCTCTCGTAAATCGTAATTTCAAATGTCAATGCTAGTTTACATAGATATTTCCACTGACCCTCCCACTTCTCTTTTTCACAGTGGTCAGCACTGTATCTTCTCTGTCTGCTGCTGGTCAGGGGGTCGCTGGCGGCCCCTCAGCACAACCCCACGCCACCCATTCAGCTGCCAAACATACCGCAGGAGCAGATACCCGCCTTCCTCAAGTTCTTACGCGAAACCATCGAGAAGAACCGGGCGACTGAAGCTCCCGTCTTCTCTGCTCCTAGCGGAGAGCTGCCGCCGGCAGAAGCAGCTGCCGAAGCTGCCCCGGTGGTGGAAGAGGTGGTTGAGCTTGGCCCTGTTTCTGAGACGATTGAAGTTCTGCCTATAGTGGATGCGGCAGCTGAAGTGGTCCCCGCAGCTGAAGCGGAAGTGATCGTCGCAGAACCAGTTTTTGGCCCCCGGCCGGATGCCATTGACCTTCTGGCGAAGGCCGCTAAACCTGCGGCGCGTTTGCCGGGTCCTGCCATCGCGGCACTGAAGTCAAGAGATCGGCCGACGGCTGGGCCGCCGACCGAGGCTCAGGCGCGCGACGCGACCAGCACGCCTCGCCCATACAGTGGGTACCTGCCCCCAGCAGATGGCAACGGGGCGCAGGGTCCGGAGGCCGAGTCGGTCCACCGTCCCTCCAATGGCTACCTGCCCCCTCCTTCGTCGGATGCGACAGGACCTAGCGCCGCGGGCGGCGCGCCCTTCACCGAACCAGAGTTCACATTCACCTTCGAGTCGCCTGATGGTATGATCCCTCCTGAGTTCCTCAAGTTCTTCGAACCTGCAGAGGGCGCCGACGCGCCTACCGGAGGAACGTCACGCAGCACGACCTCCACGTGGCAGACGTTCCATACGTACGAGTTCCAGCATACGGCGCCCGGTACCGGGCCGTCGGAGCCTGGCACCGGCGCCAGCTCGCAGTCAGGGTTCGGCTCACCGGGCCGGAAAATTACCATCGACCTTCCGGGTGATTTCCCGGACATCGGCGCGGGCTTACTCGGCCTGGCAGGGCTCGGTGGAGGAGACCGACAGCCAGGCAAGGGTTCAAGCAATCTCGACCAGCCAGCTCCAGGACCGGACTCCCTCATCCCGCTGGAGCCGCAGCTTGCTAGGCAGGTGGAGAATGCGCTGAACCTGGACGTACTGCCGCTGGACAATCCCGATCTCAACATAGTGGAGAATGAGTTCCACGGTGTCACCCCGGTAGTCTCTCCGGCCAAGGTGGGCGCCTTCGTCCCCGACGAAGTTCTCTTCCGGGAGACTGTTGACGCCCACAGAGACGCAAGCTCAGTGAGCCCTCCGACCCAGAGGATCATCGCCAGAGATTCCACCGGAGGATCAACTGCCGACGCAGCCAATCCTACCAACAGCGTTGGCTCGAATTCGTTCGGCAAGGGTTTCCAGCCTTCCGCCCAGAGTGGAACCACAGGAGGCAGCGCGGGCCCCACTTCGTTCTCAAGAGGAAGCCCTTCGGGATCGTCGTCTACCTCTGGAGGGTCACAAGTCTCGCAGGATTCCGCCAACGTCTTTCCGTTCCGTCGCGACGGACCGTTCGATAGCAGCTTCCAGGGCAGCTCATCCGGCGGCCAGGTGCCGTCATCAAACTCTCAGTCGTTTTTCCCGCAGAACAGCTTCACCACTACAACGCAGAGGCCCTTCACCCACACAACTGCTTCGAGTCATGGATCATTTGGACAGAGTGCACCTTCTAGCAGCTTCCACAATTCCTTTAGTCAAACTCCTTCGAACCAAGGATCGTTTGGTCACTCGAACTCCTTTAGTCACACTCAACCTTCCAGCAATTTCCAGAGTTCCTCCTCCCCCAGCCATCAAACATCTCAACAAAGCACGCCTCACACCAGCAGCTCCTTCACAACGTTCGCCCAACCGGCATCAGCAACCGACTCGTCAGGATCATTCGGTCACCAGCCAACACACACATTCCAAAACACATTCCAAAGCCATTCGGCCTTCACCACGACAGCTAGACCCGCCTCTCACTTCCATAGTAGCTTCCCATCTTCCTCCTCCAGCACCCATCAAGTGCCTTTCACGCAAAATACACATACAAACTTCGCTCAAGCCGTGCCGGCCAGCACACAGGCGTTCGCCTTTCCCAGCACCAGCTTTCAGGCATTTATCCCAACCCACGCACCTAGCACAAGCCAGGGAACATTCCGACATGCGGGAACGTCAACTCGGCCCCAGGCTACCTTCATTCAGATCAACCCTCCCACTAGCGTTCGTGGAAACACGTTCAGGCAGTCTGGATCTTCAGCGTCCACTAGGCCCAAGTCTGGTTCTTCAGCACAGGTGACCTCGTCTGCGACACGTTTGCCAAACTTCAACGACCCGAATTTTGATAGCTACGCGTTTTATTCTGATCTGAGGAATCTGTACGGTACTCCCAAATAAGCGTCGCGTGCGTTTGTCATGCTATTACTGTCTGGTGCCCGTTTTGAGTTTTCTTTAGATCCCCGAAGTAAAATATACGAAACCATGAAGTGCACTAAAATACACAAAATATTAGTCCACTTATTCGTGTGTCATTTACTCTTCAGCATAGACCGTCTAATAGTTGTGGGAGTCAGAGTGGAGTGAAGAAAGGAACCAGTGTCACTTATTCTGAAAAGTGCCGTTACGCTTGAGTGAAGTTGATGGTCCTCTCTTCAGGATTCGAATGTTTGCTTTGAATGTGAGAGTACAATGTTATCAATTTGAGGATAGTTGCCTGTTAAGTATTAATGTGAATATCCTCATTATGTTCTTACTCGTCTCATTGTGGTTGTCTATAGTGAGATTGTTATAACAATCGGCGTAAATGTATAAATATATCTACCGCGATAACCACTAATTTAGATGCTATTAATTGCATTCAGTTTCTTCCGCTTCAATAACTTTGACAATGTGACGACCTGCCTTTTCCAGGAAATACAAGCTTCAATATAGATAAACGCAATATTCGACAACAGTACGACAAAATATATTTATATTCTTACCCTACCCGACACCGAATCACAACAAAATAAAGCTTTATCATTGCACATTTCACATAGCCAGAAAGGTGCCAAGGAAGATACCTATAATCATGACACATCACAATAAAAAGTTAAAAGAACACAGAAGCACATACATACATAACACAAGCTATACATTCACAACGATTTATCGCATTGAAATTCGTCGTTGAAATTATTACATACAGTGCGATAGAGATGGTTTTTAACGACGAACAGTCTGTGTGCGTTAGCTGATCAAATAACAATATTCAATCTACAAGACATGAACCGTGTTTAGACCCCTGTAGATACTACGACATTCATGATCACGTGTGGACAAACATTTATGTGTGTTATCCATGACAGATATATATAAAAAACGACAATATATTCAAATACACAATTAAAAAACAGAGCTTTCGGTAACAAATACCTTGATCACTGATCAAGTGATCAGTGATCAAGGTATTTGTTACCGAAAGCTCTGTTTTTTAATTGTGTATTTGAATATATTGTCGTTTTTTACAAACATTTATCATCACGCGATAAGCACTGGGCAAGTGCATGGATGATGGAAGTGAGCTTAAAGAAACTGGGCATGAGACCTACATATTCTTACCCAAGCGAAAATAAGCATTTAACACTTTGTGTTTCATAAATTTGATGAAGAGGACAAACCATGAAACAAATACAGTGCTAAGCAAGGTGTAATCTTGAAAATCAAATTATTGTCACTGGAGAAAGAGATCAAGTGCAGTTGCCTCAAATGAAACGTCGTCTGATGTAATTATCTAGCAGGTAAGTGAGACACAACACTTAATGACCCTGCATGCTCCATGTTTAAAATAAGCTTTGGGTTGTGAAAACTTTTCATCTCCACCAGAACTCCGGGAAACTGTAATCATGGAACTAAAAGCGGCAGTTCCCTCTTTTGAGATCAATAAAAGCATAACACCACATGGGTTCACAGAAATGGAATGACTGCGCTTGCGACGGCCAGAGCAGGTTTGCATATAATCATAAAAGATAATAGCATTTATCATAGTGGCAACGCCCTGACATTCATAAAAAGGTAGCTTATAGCAGCACAAATAAAAGGAAATGGAAACAACCGCAAAAAAAAAACACTGACCAAGAACTGAGTTAACATTCTGGACCTTTCAGAATGTTACACAAGTGATGATTGCATGCCCTATGTGGGATAAATAAATCACACTTAACTACTGATCCCCGTAAATAAAACTGTATACGTGCATAACTGTGACTTACATGGAAGCTACCCACACTACGGCTAGCATGCTTTTCCCCATCGTGACGCTAAGATTCGTCCCAAGCTGCTACTGTTCATATAATCCATCGAACTTTCTAGCTTTATAATTTCTAGGCATTTTTAGCAGTGCACTTATAAAATACATGAGCCAAAGCCCCTTAACCTTGTGTAGGTGAATACTTATCGCTTGAGGGTGTAGGGTACAACAATAAGCTACATCTTTATATGGGTTTCTTCCTACGCTAATAAGGGTATTGGCTAATATTCGTCATCTTAGACCTTCATACAGAACTCCACGTAATAAGTCATACAAGGTTACATTCAAGCTATGAACCATATAACCGGGATCCAACGCCACATAGATAGATAATCAGATATATTCCACAACGTCCCACCGCTTCGTCCTATTAGATATTGATGCATCATATATTCGCCCCAGAATCCTGGAATGCCACACACGAGATCCAAGATTTCAGCAGACAGGACTCACACATTGCATCTCCTTGATGCACTTAACAATTAAGACATTCAGGCCTTGTCCGAAGCATCTTCGGCTCAGGCATCTCTCTCGGGTAAACTTCTTTCTCAGGTAAACTTCTGTTCCAGCGCCAGGTATGCTTCTCTCAGTATCAAGCATACGAGTCATCAGCTGCTGGCTCAAGTACGTTCTTCCGTCTCTCGAGGCTAAGACGCCTACATTCGCTGGATCTCGAAGAGTTTCACGTCTGTATCGAACCAGATTGGCGGCTCGACATTCCTGACAATGAAAAGCGGTTAGTGAGTATGAACAGCGAAGGAACAAAAGGATCTCAAGCGAAGGCAAAACTGCATAAACTTTGGTGAGCAACTGATACAGGTTTCTACACGAATACAGGGTTCTACACTAACACATGGTTCTACACCATGAAAATTCTAGACTAGGAAACAGCCATATCTTTTCCGTAAAGCCAGCTTTGTGAGTCGATAGCCGTAACAGTTCTTTAAATATGAGTAGCTTATATGTAAATGGGCTCGTAGAATACGCACCGTGGCGAATGTTGACACCGATTGTACCTTTGTGCCAGTGACAAAACTCGAGTTCTCAGTATATGACATATTTAGCAATAGTTCGTGAATTGCTACAAAAACGCATTTCAAGCGAGTTTCTATATAATTGGCACAATGTTAACATCTGCTTTTCATCAACTCAGGCTCTTGTGACACTATGAAGAACACAAAGAAGCACATTACTATTAGCCAAACACAGAAAATACGCGTCAATTCTAATAAAAGGAAAATGGTTACCATGAAGAAATAGTATGTAGTGCTCTAGCGAGGAACATCTTGATATATGTAGTTAGGATTTCAAATGACCTTTTCCTCGATAATTAATTGGAAATTCAATAAAAAGTAAATATTATATTGTTTGGCAAATTTTCGAACAACAGTTCATTCTCAAGCCACATGAAACAATTGACAACGAAGTTTTATAACTGCCGCCAAGCTACATTTTTTGAATTCTCACACGTGATGTACAAGGTGGTCTTCTTAAAATCAGAAATCTGAACTTAATCGATCATATCCCAAGCTGTTCCGAATCCACCTATTCACATATACATACATACATGACCATCAAAAGTAATATGCGAGCACAATCACATAAATATATACATGGTTCGTTTTGGTCGTGGTCGTGATGAATAGATCGCGTAGCATTAAAAAAAAAAGGTGACAACAATGACAATATAAACACTTTGGAAGTCTCGTAGCAGATTATGTCGTATAAAGTTCGGTTCGGTTTAAACAATCATACAAATGCATACAACTAATATGCGAGCACTCTCTATTCCCATACATGAATATGGTTCGTCTTGGTCGTAGTCGTGCTAAATAGCTGATCGTGTCGCATTAAAAAAAAAGAAGACAACAACAATAACAATACAAACACTTCGAAAGTCTCGTAACAGATCGTGTCGTAAAAGGTAGGGTTTACACAATCATACATATGTATACATCTTCGAATCAAGCGCAGTACCTAACAATTATCCACACATAACAAATTTCAATGACAGCCAGTGGGTAATGAAAACAAACAACTATCATTCTATAGTATGGGCCATGAAGACATGTTGGAGTTGAGTTTTGGGCGCTTCTTTTGGATCAGGAGGGATTCCGCGAGTTTCCTATCTGGGTGGTCTTTCGACTTATACAAAACACGTACTTTGAGGGGAATGCCTCCTTCGTGGGTGGAGTGGCACTCTTGAAAATGATCTCCCATGGGGGTGTCATTTCAGAACTAGAAGGAACAGGACCCAAGAACCTTGTGATGGATTCCTTACACTTCCTTACGTAGATGAAAGACTGTTATGCGAAGTTAAGAGGAAAGTGAGACAATCAGGCCTCAATGTAAAGTTAGCATGGACAAATTCACAAAAACTAAAAGATAAACTAGTGAGGTCAGCACTATGTAAGCCCTTATGCCCAGGAGGTCAAAGATGTCACACATGCAGATCGGGGTTCTCTGGGGACTGCACGCAGAAAAACTTAGTCTATGAGATAACATGTACTGTCTGTCAAAGCAATGGGATGACCGTAACGTACGTGGGAGAGACGAAGCGCCCGGTGCGCTTACGATTCAATGAACACCTGAGGGACGCGCTCAACAAAACACATGACACCCCCATGGGAGATCATTTTCAAGAGTGCCACTCCACCCACGAAGGAGGCATTCCCCTCAAAGTACGTGTTTTGTATAAGTCGAAAGACCACCCAGATAGGAAACTCGCGGAATCCCTCCTGATCCAAAAGAAGCGCCCAAAACTCAACTCCAACATGTCTTCATGGCCCATACTATAGAATGATAGTTGTTTGTTTTCATTACCCACTGGCTGTCATTGAAATTTGTTATGTGTGGATAATTGTTAGGTACTGCGCTTGATTCGAAGATGTATACATATGTATGATTGTGTAAACCCTACCTTTTACGACACGATCTGTTACGAGACTTTCGAAGTGTTTGTATTGTTATTGTTGTTGTCTTCTTTTTTTTTTAATGCGACACGATCAGCTATTTAGCACGACTACGACCAAGACGAACCATATTCATGTATGGGAATAGAGAGTGCTCGCATATTAGTTGTATGCATTTGTATGATTGTTTAAACCGAACCGAACTTTATACGACATAATCTGCTACGAGACTTCCAAAGTGTTTATATTGTCATTGTTGTCACCTTTTTTTTAATGCTACGCGATCTATTCATCACGACCACGACCAAAACGAACCATGTATATATTTATGTGATTGTGCTCGCATATTACTTTTGATGGTCATGTATGTATGTATATGTGAATAGGTGGATTCGGAACAGCTTGGGATATGATCGATTAAGTTCAGATTTCTGATTTTAAGAAGACCACCTTGTACATCACGTGTGAGAATTCAAAAAATGTAGCTTGGCGGCAGTTATAAAACTTCGTTGTCAATTGTTTCATGTGGCTTGAGAATGAACTGTTGTTCGAAAATTTGCCAAACAATATAATATTTACTTTTTATTGAATTTCCAATTAATTATCGAGGAAAAGGTCATTTGAAATCCTAACTACATATAGAAAATGGTTACCTTCCATGCTACCAATAAAGAGCCAAGCCTTTATGAAACTGCGACAAGCGTGACACCAAAACCACTTTCGAGACTCACCAAGCCATGCAATGTCAAAGGAAACAATAAAGGAAAAGGAGTATCTCCGGGTAGCGCAAAAGCGTGAAGCTACACAACCAAAACACCATATTCGAAGCAACGCAACAATTCACACAATGTAATGTTTGATGTAACTACTTCACAGCATTCGTGGAGTTGTTAGGGTTGCATGTAGATTCGCCAGCGCCCTCTTTACTGCCTTCTCATGACTGATAAGCAAGAGTGACCATTGATGCTTCTAAGTTTCCAAGAAAGTTGTTAGATGCATGCGCATTGCGCATAGTTTACGCGCTGACAATCGTGCATTCATGTGTAGCACATGTGGATAAATGATGCTATGGGTTCAGAGTGTCATACTTTTGTGCATCATTCGTAGCACACCAATTCCGATTGCTAGCAATCGCTGAGATGCGAGGGGGGAGTTGGTGCTTTCATCACATACACAAAAAAGGAAGCATCCTGGGATCAGGAGACAATAATTCAGGATAGCCACATGCAGTCAAGATGGCTCCTGTTGCTCCATAGAAAAAATATTGCAATTTTGTAAGGCGCTGTTTTCCATAACTGTTCAACAGAAAAGGAATGGACGCGCAGGAAATATGGCTGTCATAACCGCATGTCCCAGGTCAGACAAGCAAAGCCAGACAGCAACAAAATCACCGTTCACACAAAGCAGCGCCCGAAAACTCATCAGCCATGCTGAGTTTCGAACCCACCCTCCACCGCGGCTAAATATAGTCTGGCAAAGGTAACAATAACTTTAAGCCGCCTCAAATTAACTCTGCGTGTATTTTGTTAGTTGTAAATAGTTCGGAGTGAACTGGAGTGGTTTACTTTTCTTTTCAGCATAAAAGCATATAGCAAACTTTGAGATAAAACGCAAATTACGTCCACAGACATGCGTGTCAAATATCTCACCTTAATTTCATCCTGCATTTATTCTTTCTTACGTTTGCCAGACTATAATCACCCAACCAGCACCACACTATGGACTGACCTCAGGTAGATGACTCCCCACATGTAGGTCCTGAACCACAGAGTGGTACCCGAGTTGGCCTGGTACTTTCTGATCAGAATCGGGTGCGGTACTGGTAGCAAGCCTACCAGAGTTCCGTGCTGGAGAAACTTGAGGATCTCGCTCTCATCGGTCAGACCCCTGTGAAGAAAGGGAGTTGGGAGAAGGTGGTTAGTATGGTGTAATGTAAGTTTGTTTATTGGAACTGCTACATCACATCGGCTGTAAAGGTCAACTGCGTGCAGTTTGACAAAACAAGTCAACAATGGTGGCCAGAGTCACGACGAGATATGGCGTATCACTATACCACAAAAAGCGCAATGACATAAAAGGTGCACAATGTGGGTTGGTGTAAGGAAAGACGCAAACAAATAACACGTTTTCAGAAAACTCGTTTTACATATTTGTGTGTAATTTACGAGTACGACGTACATCAACAAGTTGCCAAATAACATTCATGCGTTGACAGCGCTAGCACGCATAAACATTCGACAATAAATATCATCAAAACGTTGCCAAACGGGATTACGCACTTAGCTAAGTGGCAATCTAAAGCAAGGGGCATTGCGCATAGGAAAAAGGATTCGCCGTCAATTCGTAATTCTTATTTGTTTCTTTTTTCTGCTGTGTTCAACTCAGCAATCAGCCTTCAAATTTATTCTCCTTTTCATCATGGAACACAACGCATCCCACTTCGGCAACTAACCCAATGCACAACGTTCATATTTTCAAACCATCCAGCTTTTCTACCAAACACCTATCCAACATCCCACTAATACAAAACCACGCCAGCCCAAAAACTCCAACCACCATCCAGCTTTTCTACCAAACACCTATCCATCATCCCACTAATACAAAGCCTCACCAACCCCACAACTCCCATCCACCACCTCTCCCACATTCTCACTCACTTGTCGATGCAGATTTTCTCCACCTGGGGCACCAGCACCTGCAGCAGGCGCATGATGGTCTGCAGGGGCAGCTTGTTCTTCCACGAGCTCACCCACTGGCTGGTGGGCACCCAGCGCTCCGGGGGCGCGGATCGGCCGGTACCAGAGGAGGTGGCAGCGGAGGAGGTGGTCGGGGTGGGACTGGAGGGACCCGGGGAACTGGTCGACGGGCCCGCCTGGAATAGAATAGGGTGGATGTCAGCCCATTATACATTAGGAGGGAAGCACCAATTGTTAATTACGACAAATACAGTCACACACATAGCATCTGTTGTGGCGAGCAGATTTCAATTTTGATGCAAACAAGGGTGGGTTCGCTTCAAAACAAGCTGATATACTATAAAAGATAATCGACTATCTACCGGAAAAAGTGACAATTCACTGTCAAATGCTCCCGAGCTTTGATTCTGCTCTAAGTTAAATAATTTTGGCACCTACCACTTTTTGCATCCACAAGCTCGTAAGTGCTATTAAAAAGTTACAGCGTAAGCCAAAACTTAACACTCTTTAAAAACTGCCAGCAGAAACATTTTTTTTTTTTTTTGTCTCTGGCCTAAGTGTCAACCAGAAAACCACCCCCACCGACCTGTCCCGCGGCAGCAGCAGCGCCTCCCGTTTCCTCGTGGCCGGCGTCAGAGGTGCTGCCTTCCTGCGGTCGGCTCACCCCGGCCGGTTCAGCCAGGCTCAGCTCGGCGATATTCACCGGCTGAGGGTGGGCTGACTCCTTCTCTGTCATCGAGTCAATACCTGCCGCGAAGGAGGGGGGGGGGTGGGGAGAGTTAATATTCTACACTGGGGAAGTGGGCATCATGACTCAATATACTTAGCGGTGAGGGGAGTGAGTCGATATAAGCCGGCAGACAGGTGGGCAACAAGCCGAGATGAGTATTGTGATGGATATGATGGGAACTATCATATGGAGTGGTTAGCACCCCATATCATATGCGTAATTGCCACACAGCTCTGTGCCATAACGTCGAATTCACAGATATTTAGGAAGGGAGACTTATGAGAAGTAGGCAATGAATCTATGAGCATGCGTCTTGCACAATTCATGTGAGAGGATGTCGTTAGAGTAACAAAAGCAGCACAAGAAATCATAAAATGAGCTTCTTTTTAAATAATCATGATTCAACTTGCCATGGCTTCGAACTCTAAATGTAGCCCGTTCCACTTCCCGTATACGCTCCCAGACCGTTCAGCCAACGTCCCTAATCTCTCACTCACGCGGTGTGGCCGCCAGCGTCGCTTTCAGCGCCCCCTGCTCAGCCAGCCCCGCCGCCGCGCCGGCCAGCGCACGAGACGACCCGTCCAGGGAGGGTTGACGCACCGCCTCAGCCTTGGACCTGAGGAGCGAGGCGGAGGCATCGAATGTTTGCTGTCACGAAAAAAGTGAGAAGAGGCCAAGAGCGAGGGTGGTAGGATGATGGGTAGGATGGAGTAAAACATGAGGCTGTATCGTCGATGAAAATGAAAAATAAAAATAAAATGTCAGAGTAATTGCAGTAATGGTCGTTCAAACAATAGCCCATGGTGGATAGCACATGCTGAAGCAAAAGCTTCTAATACAAAAGCGCACCAAGTAAGACCACACATTCATCCGGTGAAAGAGAAAACATCTAGCCAAACGCATGGCGCTCGATGAACTGCTGGTCCTAAGTAACAGTCATTTGCCACACCTCCCAAAGGGCATGGCGTACAAATGCAGCGACATAAACAGCATCAATCTGGTGTCACAAAACATAAACCCAACAACACTCCACCGCCGGAATAATCCACTAGCCCTGTCGCCTCCAAGGATCGCCACTCGCCAGTCTTACCGCTTGCTGAGCGACTTGTCGATGGTGCCGTGATCCGTGGGCAGGTTGGCCAGGTTGTGGAACACCTGACGCTTTCTGATAATGGTGTAGACCAGGTTGGAGTTGCCTGTGAAGGGAAGGAACGAGGTTATCGCTTATGAATAATTTGCTATGACCAGGCATAACTTGTCACAGCAATGCTAGCTTTTACAAGACATTTACAAAGACGTCATAAATACACAAAAAAACACGGCGAAATCACAATATATGTAAGAGAATTGATCGCTGTTCCAAACTTTACTGAAATGAAGGGCATAATTCAATTCATCTACAAAGTACAAAAAGGTGATGCATGTGCAATGACGCATGAGGTTTGCCAATTGCCACCAGGAATTAGCCATGTCTATACAGATATGGCACATAATATGGCACATGATATATCATGCTACCGCAAATAGCACCTTGACATTTCACAGATAACGCACGAAGTTTGTCGCAAGAGTCTGTGATACGGGCGCTTAGCACCGTGGTCTATCATACCAGCGGTGTTCAACCCAACCCCAAATATTAAACGGCCCACACACTCCAAAAATGCCTCTGACATGGCTATTCAAGGCAACTGCACAACCGTTCCCTGCGCACCCCGCCTCGGCCCAAGGCCAGTAACGATAAATAAGCTTCGACATGGCAGACCGCAGTGTGCAGACACCGTCTGTTATTTTCTCAGGGATACGGCAGTGTATTCAGATACCTACACGGATGCGTTCGTCTGCGGACCAGCATATGTAGCGCCTCAACGTTAAAAAGAATAAGATGTGTAATCACAGAGCACATTTGTTCCAATTATCCCCGGTTTTCATTTACCGAATTGTTTTTTTTTAAGCGCGAGTAAATTATACTGTTTCAGTAAAAAAGAAGAAAAAGCGTACAGCCTATGCACGACACTAACCGGAAGCGTTGTAGCCTTGACTTAGTCTTGACCGCTGGCACTTTGATAAAACTTATTTTCGGGCCCTGATAATTCTAAGACATTCATCTTCACTTGATTGTGTATCTTTCAGCCGACACAAGATTAAGCAAGGCATAGTTATTCAAAGACCAAACCCACGTACCATTACCACGCAACATCTCTTTCTCTGCCTCACCGTCAAACTGGTATTGTATGATGTTGTTGAAGATCTCCAGCAGGAAGAACACCAGGTGGTGGTTGTTGGGCGCCGAGAACAGGAACCACGGCGTGGTGAAGGCCTCCAGCAGGTGCAGCAGCTTGGTGGCCGACACCATCGACAGCGTCTTCAGATACGGAGACACTGGAACAGTGTTCTAAAATTTGATATTGGTTGGGTGTGCCGATGAAGAAAAATCCTAGGATGAAAAAAAGAAAGTAAATAACTGCAGTATTTTTGCAAAATGGTGTAATGCCAATTTTTATGCTAACTGATAAACCAGGATTTCATGTCAGGATCTTGACAGGGTGTGGAACAAAAGGATGTGGGTGCATCAACTGTCAAGTGACACGTGAACTGGCTGTTGGGAATACATGAAACTCTTTTCAGAGATGAAGTAAAGTTGGTCATTCATATTTTAGGGATGAAAATATTTTCCCCATTAGGTGTGATTTGCCACCAAAAAGGCTGAAAAATGAAACACTGCACTGGAAGGTGCGGAAGACACATCAAAATATTGTAGAGATACATCTGGATATTTGAACCGCAAAACTCAACGTAAAAAAGTCTCTGTTTGAAGGAAAAGACACACGAATTCCCTTATTCACACGAAATAAGCAAATAACTTAATTTCCTAAGCAATTCGCAGATGTTTTTCTAAAAAATGTAGCAGAATGGCAAACAATGTATAGCTCCATTAATATGCTTGGAAATATTTGTGAGTAAATGAGGCCTTCAAACTAAACACATTTCACAAAAAAGCAGGAACGGCAGGGTAAAAACTTAGTGAAATCCCCAAAGCAGCCATAAAGTTATGCTTAGGAAAAAAACAATAAATGCAAAGTGTGTTCAAAGCACTTTCAACACCTACAACGACCAATCACATACCGTTGACGAGGATCGTGAGCAGACAGTCGAACAGTGGCTGCAGTCTCTGGTGGCCCGTGGTGATGATCTTGTGAAACACGATGATCAGCAGATCGCCATGAGTTCCTGGAAGAAAACGGTACACGGTCAGCAAGTGTGTGAAGTGTAACAGCGACTGCTTATACCGAACGAGCACAGTATTCAGGTAGTGCCAAGAGCAGCAAGTCATGGCAAACGTGCTCACATGAAAAACTTATCGTAGGAAAAAAGTTATCGAAGATTGGCAGCTGCAGGAGGGCTATTGTGAATGGGACTGTCCCAAATACAGTAGATTCCGCTCAATAAAACATCGGCCTAATATAGAGGCTTATTGGGGCTTAGTATTAACTTATAGGGTGATATTACAGGCTTATATTGAGGCTTAAACAAAGTCCAGGGGCTTATTGTGGCCACTTGAGCTGTTCACGGATTTTCTGCAAGAATCATAACTGACTCGGTTAATAAAGCCACCGCTTAATAAATCCAAAACGTCGCGTCACCAGGGTGGATTAATTATGCGGATTCTACTGTAAAACGGCAATTGCGCAAAGTGTGGTGATATCTTTTTTTACACGAATATCTTAGATGTTTATAACTATCGACAATTACCGGAAATATTCAACTGACGTTAAATAAACAGTACTAAACTAGGGTGACCCGCGTGCTCCGCAACGCGAAAAGGGATATTTTCGATCGGCGGGTGTTCGGTTGTTCTTGTGTCGGTTGGGTTATCTATCCATTTCGGTCGATTGCTTTTTGACGGCTAAACGTTTTGGTTTGTGGAAAAAATATCCACCGCATCGAGGTGCCCGTGTCTGATAAGCATGCTTTCCACTTCAGAATCTGTCAAATGTGCTTTATAATTGAGGTGCGTAGTTTTAAGACAAATGAAAGGCGTAGATAATTTTCGCTAAAAATCGTTTTGCAGAGGTTTAAAACATTTATATTTTAAAGAATACTGTTGCTTGTCATGCAAACGTGATGATTGGATCTTGGAGAGAATTGAATGCTCTTTCTAATGATAGCATTTTCAATTGTCAAGCGTATCAGGTTAAGCAGCAAATCCCGTGTATCTTTTTAGTGGCACATTATGGACAAATACCATTTTAATTCAGCGATTTTTTCCACATTGTTTTTGATCAATTAGCTTTTCACAATTTTTCCATGAGAGACGGTACATTTTTATTGCTAATAGGCGCTGTTTCAACTCATTCCGTCTGACGATCACCTGAAATTAATATAAATTCCAAAATCCGTTTAAAATGGCACTTTTTGAAATGAAATTGCCCTCACACTTGCACGTGGCGCGTGCCACCCCTGCACCGCACACTATTCGATTGCCCGTTCGATTCTCTACACGATGCTGTTTTCCCCGTGCCGATCGGGCGCACGGCTACCGAGATATTGCACGGGGAACGGACCCGTGTCGGGCAAATTTAGCCATTTTCGCCCGTTTTTGCCAGCCGATTTATACATGTAAAGTCTATGACGCGAATTTGCACTTTTTGGGCACGCGCCACGCGCTCGCTATCGATCCGATCGAGCCGAGACCGCTCAAAGGCACGTTGTCCATCCTTGTTCTATAACTTGCGCAAATTTCAGCGCGGTAGGTGCAACGGTGTGATCTGTAACCCGCGCTACGTAGCACCATGTCGCGACCTTCGTAATAGACAGAAACTACGCCCTCCTCAAATAGTAATATAGACAAGCGGCTGCGCCACTTGCTTCGCGGCGTAGCCATAAAATGCGGCAGCAGCCAACTTGCTTTCGAATGGTGTTTGCTTTAAACTGATCAGTCGTCTGGAAGCAGCGATATGGACGGAAACGTGCAGAAGAAAATTTTGAACATAAGAACTATTCTGAGGGCTTAGTTGTATGAAATTTGGGTCATACGGAGTCAAGTCAGGTCAAGGTGGTCATCCCTGGTCACACTGGGTCAGGCCAGGTCACCTTCGGTCAGGCCAGGTCGTATAGGTCACCTCGTCACATTGGATTGGCCTGGACTACACTTCTACTACCACTACCCCTACCACTACCCCTACCACTACCCCTACCACTACCCCTACCACTACCCCTACCCCTACCCCTACCCCTACCACTACCCCTACCACTACCCCTACCCCTACCCCTACCACTACCTCTACTATTACCTCTACTACTACCCCTACTACTACCTCTACTACTACCCCTACCACTACCCTACCACTACCCCTACTACTACCCCTAACACTATCCCTAACACTACCCCTACCCCTACCACTACCCCTAATACTACCACTACCCCTACCGCTACTCCTACCAATACTACTACCACTACACAGTACACCAACCACTACCACTGGGCCATGTGAGGTCACAGCACCATCAGATAAACTGATAAAATAAAAAAAGAGTTCCTAACCGTGCTCCTACTCGTGTAATTCCATTATTCTTAATCATATTTGATGGAAATGGCGCCTTGTGACAAATGTGGCGCATTGCGACAAAAAATGGTACATTTGTAATTGTCGTTTTGCCATGTTTCCTTCCACCGAATTGCACGCTTATCGGACCATAGTTGATAAAGTTGTGCGATTTGCGACAAAAATGGCGCCTCGTGACAAATGTGGCGCATTACGGCAAACGCGGTGCATTTGTGTCAGCGCATTGAAACTGTCTTTATTTACCGAAAATCAACACCTTCATTCGCCTCTGTTTAGCAAAATAAATAAGCTGCCAATCTGCAAATGAGAGGCACCCGCCGCCGATCGTCATGCATTTTATTGTCAAAGGCGAATGAACCCGGCTGCCGATGCCTTGAATCAAGCTTGAGAGCCGAGCAAAATTTGGAGAAAATGCACCTTTTTCCAGCGCGTGCCACGTGCAAGTCATCCACCCCCCGGGACTGGAACCTCGACACTGCACGTGCCCGTGACGTCATCAACATGCTGCGAAAATTTCAGCCCCATCGACCGCACCGTTTGACCTGCGCACTAGAGCACTTCATGGGCCGGATAAATCCGTTATCCACGGATAAATCCGCGGACCGGATAGGATTGGATTCTAAATTTGTTAAAAAAGAACGGATATGGGCGGGCCGGATTTGGGAATTGAAGGTTGAACCCGGATCAAAACGGATCAAAATTTTAACATTCAACATTGAAGTTAAAAATTAACCTAATGTGTTAAGCGGCTATCTTCTTACTTCTTAGAGAAATTGTGTATTACTATTGAAGGATGATACCTAGTTTACCAATGTGGTGATTTTCATGTGGTTTTAGGTTTATAAGCATGGTTTTTGGAACCATGATGGCCTGTGAGATGTATGGCTGTCTGGTCCCTTAAATTGAATTTGTTAGTCCAGTTTTGGGTGAAACCAGTTATTGGTGAAACGGATTATTACGGATATTTTTTGGAAGTTTGGCTGCAATACGGGCCATGGGTGGGCCGGATTCTGATATTCAAAGAAAGGCGGATAATGGGCGGATCTGGATATGACTTGCCGGATATGGGCCGGGCCGGATCCTAAAAAGCCTATCCGTGAAGTGCTCTACTGCGCACGGCGTCAAAGGACCCCTCTGCACGGTGCAAACAGAAACACACACATTCACACAGAGTTTCATTCAACAAATAGTATAGTAGATGAAAGCTACCAATGCCGGAGAAAGCGTAAAATGCCTAAATAGCATCCTACCGATGAACTACGCTAGCGATTTCCATCAAATGTATCAGAGAACCTCGATCCTTTGTTCGACCAAATATTACATATGAACATGACATATGATTACATATGAACATGGCATATGAAATGAACAAACATTGCATATTCACCTCCTTAAACATTGCTCAGTTATATAAACCTTCATATGGATTTTAGTTTCCCAGCTCAGCAGCATAACGACGGATGGATAGGACTATCCAGCCCAGTCACACTACCCAGTACCTACCCATGCACCACTCAGCCAGCCCAGCCCCTTCATACTCTCCCATAGTCCAAGACTCCAAACCCACCTGAGAAGACGGGCACATCCATGGCCACAGCCGCCGTGTAGGGCTTGTTCAGCCTGACGCCAAAGTTCCTCTCCCCACTCAGCAGAAGCAGAATGAAGACACCAATGTGCATGAGACCCACGCGGGCCTGGTCGGCTCTGCACTCGTTCAAGTGGTACAGAATGGGGACCGTGATCTGTAGGACGTCGCTCGACTTGAGCACGAAGAAGAGCAGTTTCTGTAGGCCGAGAAAGGGGAACGGAGAGTGAGGGTAACGGTGAGGGTTGGTAATCGTGAGTAGTACGGCTCTCGCGAGATTAAGCGGTAGGTTTCGCACTATTACATTTCCGGTTATATCTAAGAAACTAATCGATCTACGATGAAGTCATTTTACACGATCATGGCCGGCTTGTAAACCAACAAGTCGATCGCATCTTCAACTGAAAAAAATGCTGAAAGAAATGCTGAAAAAAATGCTGAAAGATAAAGCTGAATGCCAAGTGCTCAGTCTAGCGCCGCGAGGACCCATTTGAAAAGTCCACGGGAACGCAGGGAAATGAAAATTGAATAATTTATTGCTTGGGCACTTGCTACTCAAATACGACAGTGGGCATGAAAATGTGATGAAAAAATAGCAAAGAACAGTGGGCACGAGATATCGAGACACCAAGAGGTTTATTCGTTGCCCACTAATTGAGTCATTAATCATAAATTTAATGAAAATTAATATATTTTAGCTCAGCAAAACTCATCAAATATCTGGTGCCGTTTTCACAGCACACGTTTTAGATACCCTGAAGCCGGTGCTTTACTGACAATGTCTAGCATCGGGAAAGAAGAGCAAGATTGTAAGTAAGTAGATCGTGTTGCTTTTCATCACAAGCGTAAAAGTTGCCAGAAACGTTCAAGCAAGAAAACATGTCAAACGCAATACAATTATCTGACTGACTCACAACTCGCAGAAAGACAACAAGCAGCGACATCACAAAATATTTTGTGGCTTTATTTGGTGCAATACCATACCACGCAAAGCATACACCTTGTCAAGTACACTAGCCGTAGCCATCAAGTAATGTCGTTGAAAAGAAACGTCATGACTTGTGCCAAGTACCAGCCTCAAACGTCGCATCATTACTATCGACAAATCGTAAACCCAAGAACGGTATACATAAAGCATAGCCTCGGCAAAACATCCACAGAATATCATCTACGACAGAATGAAGCCAACATTTCAAACGTCTTTCCTTGTCGACATGTCTCTCCTAGTCAAAACTATCACACATTGAGGCATGGAAAATGGCTCCTCGCCTAGCTCTCACAACGCCAGCACCCGTCCTGGATGTTCGCCTTGTACGCCAGATCCTGCGTGTTGAGACCCATGCCCAGAGCCAGATCAATCAGAGCCTGCAGCCGATCCTCGGACAGACTCGGGGTGCGACTGATGAAGTGGATGCAGTAGTCGATGGTACCATCAGCATGAGGACTGCAGTCATACTCAATGGCGGCATCTTCGTCCAGCAGGACCAGGTTGTAGTCGGTGAGAGGAGCGAACGGGAAGCGGAACTTCTGGTTGAAGTTTCCAGGCGTGCCATCGTAGATGAGATCGGCCGTCATGTTGGTGAAGATGCCGTCCACCGTCTTGTAGCGGCAGGCGTACGTGACCTCGCCGTCTCCCTGCTGGAAAAACGAGGACAGACACAGGTTAGAATGCGCTTTAAAACGACAACTGTCATACCATCACAATTACGGAGAGTAGAGATCACTAGCACATAGTGGTTACCAAAGACAAGGAATCGAAAACGTCGGTAAGCGTTTATGCATAAATAATCTCTTCCTATCATAGAACATTCTAAGTTGTAGCTAATATGAAAAGTACCATTTCCAGTAGCCCTACAAATATATGTCAGCCAGCAGAAACTGGTGAGACCTCCTAAACTGTTGAAACAAATGTCCGAGAACAAAAATAATCACATTAACAAATAGCAAAAAAAAAACTAAAAAGAAGAAGCCGCAGGCAATGTCAGTCAACTCACCACCGGCTCATCCGAATGGAAGACTAGGGCGTCACAGACGCAGTCCTTCTGGAACGCCGCTCCGCCGGGCGTCTGGATCTTGCCCACTTCGTACCAAGTGCCCTCATACGCGGCATTCGTGAACGTAGGGTCGGGCTGAGGCTTTATACATTCTTCAGACGAAACGGCAAGAGGCAACAGTGCGAGCAAAAGAGCCAGCATGATTGTAGTCAGTTTTCTTCTTGATTTTCAGCGAGCCCTCAAACCGCCAAGTGGCGAATGCGCAAAATTGAACGACAACAGAGTGAATGACGAGAGTGGTTGTAGAGTGTGGGTCTTATAGTGGGGGATTATGTAAGCAAACGCATATTCGTGGGAGCCAGCACATGGCACATTACAAGTAGTTTGCCGAATGTACCATGTTATACAACCACGGAGATAAGTCTTGTGAACTTTCACAAGAGAAAAAGCTGGCAACCACAGGTTTTAATGAGAAAGTCATGGTTCCTGTCCATTTCTGTTGTTACTTGAGATAAATGTTATGAAGTGGCAAATCGATCCATCCATATCCCAAAACATTGAACAAATTCCAAAGGATACATCTGCTTATAGAACACTCGCAAAACACATGTAACTCACGTAAAAAAGTAAACGGCATCACAAAGTAAAACAAATTCAAAGTGACGATTAACTGAGACTTGAGTTTAGCGTTAACACTTAATGATATTGTTAACACAACTACGCTTACCTTGTTGTAGTCACAGCACTTCCAGAAGAACACCAGCAGCTCCTGATGGGCGTGCACCTTCTTGGTCGAATGCGGCAGGTAAGTCTGAGTCAGCGGGTTGTTCAAAAGACGAGTAAACCCTGAAAACGAAACATTTAGAAGCTTACTGCAAGAAACGATGTAAGTTGCAACGTAAAGCGGCTCAAAAATGCACAATAGACGATTTAACGTTTCGGAAGACGCATGATTCTACCCGTAAACGTATGATTCTACCCATCGTTTCGCAACACTCTTGCTATAAAGCCATTTATAGTACCGTAAACGGGGGTGACTTTGCCATGTTTTCAACTTTAGACGCTTGTATTCTTTTAACTTGGTAACTTATTGGGATGACTCTATGTTCAAAACACGGATGAAGATTAGCTCTTTGGGTTTTGCTATGATCGTATTTATAGCTTGCCTAAAAATATAAATTTTTAAGGAAAATGAGTCGTGGCAAAGTTAAACTGAAAAAGGGGTGACTTTGCCACTATGCCAAATAATGTCTTTGTAACGCTAACAAATACTTTTCAAGCATTTTTGTTCCATTGTATGAGGAAGGGAAACCATTCTTAATTGTTTAATAGGAAAAATAAAGCAATTCGAGGTTTTTGCTCTTAAACGATGTACAAAAAAGGAGAGATGCCTTACTTTTTATAATACATTATATTTGTTGAAAATAATTGAGATTTGATAGTAAATAGAAACTGAAAAATGGTTCAGAATAGATAAATAAGCACAGGTCTTATTGTATCGGTACTCTAGGACCTTGCCGCTTTTTCCAGCGGCATTAAGCGGAACAGAAAGAGGACGTTCTTGCGGGAATTACATACCGACACCCTTATTATCAGCATTTTGATCTATAAAATGATACATATTTCTTCAGTCAGTCTTACTGGCAAACTTAGGAGTTGTAGATGATCATGGCTGTGGTGCTAAAAAGTTGGGCCCAGCTTCATCCATTTTTTTATTTTGGTGATTTTTTTCCTTTCTATACTCCCACTGTGCATTCCTGTGTTAATGTTCAACATATAAACTTTTACGTTTTAAAAACCAGTTTTAAGATCAAAATGATGCTACATTTAAAACTTATTTTGAATTGCATCGGATAAGTAATTCATTTTTGCATTGATAACATGGTGGCAAAGTCACCCCATGTGGCCTGCAATTCACTTGGAAGAATCGCCACCAAAAATGTTAGCTAAATGAAGTGACAAATGCCAGTTTTGTTGGATATGCTAACCTAACAGCCTTGTCATGATCAACCATACCAAGTCTCAGCATCGCAGTTGGTCTAGAACATGGTTAGATAATAAAAAGTTCGGAAATTTGACCATTAAATAAAACGGAGCCCAGTTAGGTATTTAGTGGTAATTTATGAATGATATGCAAATGAAATTCAAGTACACATTTTCCAAGTTCTACTTTATATTCTGAGTCAGGGATTCTGAGTCATCCGCAGTTTCCCGTTCTCGTCACACTCATTTAATTAACACTTGTGCACACGCGATTTTGTTATGCATGCTCTCCCGACATGCTGATTGTTAATAACAACCACGAAAGAGTTGGTGAGGATCCTTCAATTTATCTCTCAGTGCTGGTTATGTTGGAAGGCCCATCAATTATCTTTCATTTGTGCATAAAAAATTATTACATTCTTCGTAAAATATCACTGGAGATCACCCTAAAACATTTTTTGAGAAGCATGGCAAAGTCACCCAGCAAAGCAGTCACCCCCGTTTACGGTAATAAAGTAGTTAGGAAAACAGCTATAACAGCTATAACTTTCTATAGACACAAATCATTATAGTCCACTATGATATCCCTGAGCACTAGTAAAACATCTACGAAGACGTTCGTCGCAAAGCCGTTACGCAATATCTTGTTCGGCGACGACAAACGGTGTCTGAAAACAAATAACGTTATCCCTGTTACGTTGTTTGTGCGTTACGTGTCGTAACATACCTTTGAGGATGAAGTCAAAGTCCTCCTCGCGATGAATCCGTGACAGGTAGTTGATGAACAGGTTGTCCGGAGAGCGCTGTAACAGAAGAAAGATTTTGTGCAGTGGTGGAATCATGGGTGAACGATTTTAGATAATCACGGAGTGACTTTGCAAAAACATTTTGCATAAATTGATATCGAGTATAAACATTCAAACAATCCTCCTAGAAAAATTCATGATGATAAATGTTTTCCCAGGTCAGTGCTTATGACTAATTTTTCACTTGAGAATGGCTTGTTAGTTCGATGACGTCACTATTGACCCAATGATGTCACTAACCTCGTCATCAGCCCGACTGGCAGTGGAGTCATGGTCGAGCGTCACAATGAGAATCTGCAGGGCTGTCTCCATTAGGGCCTCGCGTTTGTCGTTAAACAAGAGGTGGTTGTACGGCAGGCCTGAGAACAGAAGCGTTTCGAGTGATAGCCAACGCAGACTTTGTAGCAAGCAGTCATACCAACTAAAAAGAACTCCATGACTGAATGATAATTAGCGACATCAGAAAGTGCTTTTTTGCTGTTGAGGAAAATCATTATAATGTGTAAGCCAATGCAACTTTTAACGCGCTTTCATCCTTCATTACAAACGCCACGCAGCTCCCTCTTCAAACGGTTAATCTTGCTGCTGTCCATACATCTACGGCGGCTAAATAACGATACCAAGAACAAACCAATTACTTAAACAATCTAAGATTCGAATCCCACATACTCGTAAGTCCGACTTTTCGGTTCACTCACCCATGCCGACAGGGTCGTAGGCGCACACCAGGTTCAGCAGCGAGGTGAACAGAGGCAGGGCATGTCGGTTCTCGGCAGACGTGAAGAACTGCACCCAGCGGTTCGGCCCGGCCTGGGCCCCGTCTGTGAGCCGTCAGAGGTCATGTCAATGTCGGTCACATAATTGTAGTGTTGATGGTGACGATTAAGTAAAAGGCCGTGGGTAAGTCATAAGGATGCTAAACAGGTTGCATATTACTGGTCAGATACGCACTCGGTGAGCTAACGTGACATTGTTCAAGGTTGTCAACCATCCATGACAACGAACCTAACTATTTTCGGCCATAGGTCATGTTTCCGGCCGTTAATCGGGTCATAAGAAATCAAGCAAGATATTGTTCGTCGGAGGAACCATAAACCCCAAGGTCACTGCTCAAAACAAGACCACCTTTCCAAGGCGAAGCCAGTAAATTGTCAGAACAAATACGTGAGCCATGAGCTGTCATACTATCCCAAAGCAACATGAATGCTTCTATCACCGCCGGCTACCTATGCATTCCCTTGTCGACAGCATCCCAAACAATAATAAAGCCTCAAGATCGATCCCCTATTAGCGTGCTCACCGCTGGGCAGCAGATACATAGTCTGTGAGAAGCAGGTGAGCAGCAGCTTCAGGATCTCGGTGCGGTTGCTGTCGTGAGCCGAACTGTGGGTGACGGGACTGCTGAAGCCGACGCCGGCCTCCCAGATGTACTCACAGCTGTCGATGGACTGCACATCCTCGTGCTGGTCCTGAAAACACGGAGACGGGTTGGGTGAGTGATAGGATGAACAAATGAATGAATGAATGAATGAATGAATCAATGAATGAATGAATGAATGAATGAATGAATGAATGAATGAATGAATTAAATATGAATGAATGAATGAATGAATGAATGAATGAATGAATGAATGAATGAATGAATGAATGAATGAATGAATGAATGAATAAATGAGTAGGTGAATGCAAATTAATGGATGAGAAATGCAGAGCGCATGGATAATGAATGAATGAATGAATGAATGAATGAATGAATGCATAACTTAGGAATGAACAAAGAGTACGTGCATGAATGAAGAACAAAATGGGTGAAAAATGGAAGAAGCATGAACTGGTGATTGCAAAACAAATGGGTAGGTAACGAAAGACCAATTAGTGATTCAATGGATGAATGAATGAATGTATGAGTGCAATATGTGAATCGGACGAACAGAGAAAAGTTGCAAGCATATTGCAACTCTTTCATGACGTGTGGGCGGATAACGACTTATTCTATCAAAATGGGGCTATTGTTAGGCTAGTATGAATAATAAAGTTAGTTTGAGGGGACCAGCAGCGGCTTAGCATTCAGTGAGTAGCGAACTAAATCCCCCCAAGCCCAGCTGGCAGAATGTTCAGTGGAAAACAAAGTAGGGGAAGGTGGGGTAAGACGGACCAGCTAAGGTTTGAGGCCGCATATTTTGCTACACTGCTCTCGTAGTTCATATTATTTATAGTCTTCGGAATGCTCAATCTTTCCTCTGTTGATATGTGTAAAGACTAAATTTCAACTTAAAGACATCTAGGTGGTGGATGCTGTTAAAGACGGACATGTCAAAAACTCAGACAAGAAAAAAACGTGGGGTAAGACGGACCACCCAGCAGTGCCTGCTATCCGTTCATGTGTGTTACACTTCTGCTCTGTACTCTTGTAAGAAAAAGTAACCAGAATGGTAAAATAACGAAATGAGCCTTTATTCTTTACTCATGTGTGATGGAAGTGCAGCTAAAAGCTGGGAACATGAGTGTTGATTGTCGTTTGGCATGAATGCATGCTAACTGAGCACCTGCATGCATGGCTCACATGCAACAAAGACTTCTTCCTGAAAAATTAGCTTACTTAAACTTGTGTCAATGTTTTGGAAAAGAACTTTCCATATGCAGGGTACAATCGACCACCACAGGGTAAGATGGACCACAGTGGTCCGTCTTGCCCCAAATCTAAATTCTGTCATTATCATGACGTATATGTCAAATAGCCCAACATTGCAAAACCTTGCCAGTTCCTAAAGTGTGACTTTAACTAAGTTTATAACTTTGTTCTTCACAGTTAAGTGCAAAATAGAAACTAATCATGCAAGAAAGGCGCCGTAATTGAATCACCCGTAGACCTCTTATATTAGATCGGTTCGACGAAAAACAACATTTTTCTCAATAACTCAAAAGCTATGCATCCTAGCAGCATGAGCTCAAGGTGGCCATTGTTACGAAGGAAAACAAACATAGTGAGTGCATAAAGCAGTAGATACCAGCAGCAGTTCAGCCGGGAGGGCTGGTGGTCCGTCTTGCCCCGCTGGGCCGTCTTACCCCACCTTCCCCTACTGTCACGATCATCTTCCGCTTAGTCTAACCAGCTGACCCTGACTGAGTGGGTGTGGACCATTTAGCATTTGAGGCACGTTTTAGCACCACAGTACTTAATGCACATTGCACACGACTGGCTTCTCGGCTGTTTAGCGAAACTCATTATTTTGACGGCTGAAAGGGAAGGTGGATGGAGTTTTCCAGGGTTACCTTGTGCCTTGGTGGCACTATGCACTCTAAAATTGCATTCGTGTTGAGCAATAGCTCTATTTATATAACGCAAGTTCCCAAAAATGTCATCAACAATAAAATTTCACGCACTTCTATAATATCGATATTATCGATAGATCTTTATGCAGAAGACAACCAAGATATGACGACAGCAAGCAGAGATTATCCAATGACAAGGTATAGAAAGATCAAGGCAAGAGTCAGCATTTTAAAACTAAATTGCGAGCCTAATTAGTTCAGCCCCGTCGTCTATGCAGCGCCCTTTATTAGCCATTCAGCTGCACAGGTGTTCAAACACCTGGATTGGAGCCATAAAAGACGCACTATCGATCTCACACTAGATTCACTTCGACTACGAAGAAATTCAATGGCATCGGCACAGGGTCGTAGTCTAACATCAGAGCAGGGCAGATCTTCGAAAAGCGTCCTGGATAGCCTGTACTATTGGGTTAATTTGAAAGCCTAGGCTGCTAAACGCCATCAGTGAGATATTAAACCGTAGGTCTCTGTAATGGAAATGATCGCATTTAATTGGCAAATCATGACGCTTAGCAGCACAAAACAAAACAAAACAAAATGTACCGAAACATAGTCAGAGTTATAACAAGAAGCCAGGGCGAAAATGATCATCTCCCGTGAGGATCGAACCCTCACCCGCCACACACAACTACACTCACCACGCCGGCACCAGCCTTGCTGGGCGTCACGGTAAAGTCCGGGCAGAAGAGCAGGTCACAAAGCGCCACCATGAGAGTCTGCGCGAGCGGCAGTGGCTCGGGCCCATCCTGCGGCTCACCGGCTGGCCGAGCGCTCGTCCAGAAGAAGCCACTCCAGTCGGAGTCCTCGAAGATGTAGGGTAGAAGGCGTGTGAGCACGCGCACGCAGTTGAGCACTGTGTGAGAAGGGTGAGAAGGTAGAGTTAGCGAGGGTAGTTCGGTGATCGAGCGATCAGGAAACGCAGAGTGAAAACGAACGATAGAAACGATGTGCTAAAGAATGCTGTGGGTTGTGGTTGTTTTCCGGTTGGCTGTAACTTGTTATGTCTGGAGTTGACGTTACCAATACCTCGCTGCAATGCGTAGAGACGTTTTTGTTTTCACTTTTTCCCAGTTTTCACTCCCCTCCCACCTTTTCCCCCACCTTCTCATATGTCTATAATCTGCACACACTGCACCTTTTCACATTCTACACCCATATCACACATATATTCTGCACTCTCCCTTTCACTCGCACATTTTCTAACCTGTCTGCTGTTCCTGCTGCGTGGAACATCCCGTCTCGGAGGCCTTCAGCAGCTTCTCCACCGCCTTGAAGCAGACAGTCGCCATGTTCGCCGGCATCTCTTCACGCAGCGCCCGGATGTCGGCGGCTGGAGTCTGGGCGAACACATCTTCAACGGAAGCTACCGACTCGGACCAGAACTGGTCCCAGAAACGGGTATCGGAGGGGTCCACTGGCTGGGGAGAGAAAACAGGGGAAGATAGTCAGTTGTTAGAGAAGAGGAGACGATCGGTAGTAGTTTGAAAAGTCGAGGAGATGATCGGTAGTTTCAAGGAAAGTCGAGGAGATGATCGGTAGTTTCGAGAAAAGCGAGGAGATGATCTGCAGTTTGAGAAAACACGATAATTAGTAGATGTAAGAAAAGTCGATGGGGCGACCGGTTGGTAGTTGTAATAAAGCTGAGATGATCGGTAGGTACTTGTGATAAAATCGATCAGATGTTCCTCTTAAGAGAGAAAAATCGACAGACATGGGCAGAACCGGCTTCCTTCTGCGCGCGGGTGACGCTGCGCCTATCTCCCGGGCCCGGGGTCAGCCCGTGAAACTTCGATGTGACCTTCTGCAGCCGTCTTATTTAGGATCAGCGTGGTATTTGTCATTCAGTTCTGAACCACGTCAATACCGGAAAAATTGCTCAACATAATACCAGCATCGATTAGACAATCATCCGGCGCGCCGAACTTCAATCAACATGCTGAACTGCATGCAAAATTTGTGTTTCTCTTCAGACAACTCAGCAGACAAACTACTTCCCATCGCATATTACAGGGCATGGCCAGGACTCTCGGGCCTAGTAATCCGACCAGTCTTCTCAACCCCTGGGTGTTTAGGGCTACACGAATATAAATCTGGGGGGGGGGGGGCTCAAGCCAGGTGGCCTCTGATGAACATTAGGCACCAGAGGAGTTATCATCTCAGGTTTTTTTAATTCTACACCTTTTTGCACTCAAAATAGGCATCTTTTCATTCAATTTCGGCGAATTGCATTCAATTTTAGCGATCTCTCATTTGCTTCGAATAGAGAGATCGCTAAAATTGAATGCAATTCGCCGAAATTGAATGAAAAGATGCCTATTTTGAGTGCAAAAAGGTGTAGTGTAGAGTATAGCGTATGAATAACCCTTAGCTTAGGTTAGCACTCATCCTGTGACAAAATCTCTTAAATCGCCCATTTGCACCAAAATTTGTTCATCCTTGCACCAAAATTTTGACACAGAGTTACACTGGATACTGTGCCTCTGCTCAATCTACCTGTTATGCCAGACATGTTGATTGTTGATGGTAACATGGATTTTTCAGTCAGGCAGGGGGTGGGGGTACGAAAAAGGATTTGACTTCCCTAAGGACAGAAACAACAGAGTAAAGGACCACAGTGTATAGCATAACCACATGCACACTTACCTGGGACTTTGATGTGAGCTGCAAAAGAGCTTGTCTGAAACTTGCTTTAGAATCTGCATTTCCCATCTTCTATGTTCAATGACAATTGACAAGTGTAATCCAAAGCTGCAAACAAATCATACAATTTCAAAATTACACCAGCAATTCCAAAAGAAACCATTCACTGTCAGATATTAATAAAATGCAGTTTTCCATGTAAAATATATATAAATATGAAAGGACATCGACAATTTGCCCGAATCCAGTTAGGTTGGGCTATTACGTTTTAACCTTGGCTGGGTCCTGAAAAGACAACCAATCAATCACTCAATGGCAGCCTAATTTCTATGACAAAAATATGAGATAAAGGTGCGGACATATCGATATATGTCAAGTTTAGGTCCTAACTACAATTGTGGTGCTTTTGATACGAATATGAAACAGCAAAAATTTTAGGTTTTAGGTTAGGTTAGGTTGTAGGTTTGTAGGTTTTAGGTTGTAGGTAGGTAGGTTTGTAGGTTAGGTTAGGTTAGGGTAGGTTTGTAGGTTGTAGGTTGGTAGGTTATAGGTAAGTAGGTAAGGTTAGGTCAGGTTTGATTATGTTTTTTCTTTTATTTGCGAGACATATGAGTATCATTTTTTGATTCAGGATGTCAAATAATGTAAAAATATGAAAAATTTATCAATGAAATCTTCTTAGGACTTAAACTTGACATTTACCGACATATCTCGTAAACATTATAGAGTTCAGTGGTCCTAACATACTGCGTTGAACAATAAATTCACGCATTACCTCTCCACTCGTCAGTTCCTGGCTGTGTTTATTATTACTCCAGCCTTGCTCCAGACCATATATAGGGGTATATATATATAGGGCCTTGCTCCAGACACTACAGGGCTAGAGCAATTAACATACTGTAATACAAATGAGGGAAATAAACAGTATAATGACGTCATACAGAATCTTTCCCGAGCATCCATCTTCGAGTATTTCGACATCTAAACTACCTTCATTTTCTACATTTACTGCAACAAAGTATTATTTTCATCTGAATCACAAAATATTTAGTAGGTAAACATAATATTACCCTCAACATCCAAACCTCAGTCATCAGCATATGCACGCCATTGGTAGATGCATCAACTACGTCATCAGCACAATTTTAAGAAAAATAAGCAAAGAAATTGTATTATCCCAAAGCAAGCATATGCTTCAGAATTGCAGCTTCTACCATCTAGCGGCCGACCTGGAAGCTTACATTCAAGAAATGAACACTACACTCATTATAGATGACGCAGCGGTAGGGTAATAGGGATCACGCGAGAAGCAAGCATTGATGAGCATTGAGCAATAGCTCATACCTAACTAGTAACTTCATCCATCCTCGCCATCCTCATGGGACAAACAAGCCCATACAACTCGCACCCCCCTCACACGTCCATCCCTGTCCGGGCTTACGGTCACGGCCCCACCAGACGACCAGAGGACCGGCGATGAGGGCAAATCATCGTTATTTTATTCGTCTGAATACCTACACCCTCCCTCGTGGCCCGTGGACTACCTTCTCTGGGGTAGGTAACCATTTAATTAACCCGGCAGGACAGGCTTTGTCATTGCCCATCGGGAACCGTCCCACCGGGAGGTCCCTGCCACTGTGCGCATGGTGCATCGTCTGTCGGTGGTCTGCCCATTCCAATACCTACACTAAGGTCACTAATTGATAAAAACACAATAACCAACCAACGTTTCGTAGTATTAACTCAAGGGTAATATGGTAAGGACTAAGGGTGATATGGAAAGGTTGACATGATCGGGTGATAGGTATTACCCAGCTAACAATTTGCCGTTGTTACAACGTCGTTTAAACGTTGTCAAATGGTTACCACAACGTTCCGATTTGTCGTTGTGACAACGTAATTTTGTAGACTCCAGACAACGGCGTGACAACGTCATCCGACCATGCATTTGAATGTCATCACAACGTTTCGGTAACGTGACCGTAACGTCCCAAAACCGTTCTCACAACGTCCCGCCAACGTTATGAAATGTTTTCTGTAACGTGCCAACAGTGTTTCTGGAACGTTGTCACCACGTTTCCACAACGTGACTACTGTATTAAGGCCTTGGTGACTACAACGAGTATAGAACGCTTTGGCAACGTCTCTGCGACGTTTCTGAACGTTTTTATCACGTGCGCACCACGTTGTCGCTATCTTCGTATCAGTATTGCCGTCCGTGCGACCCCGAGTAAACGTCCTAAACATTTTCGCAACGTCCTCTCAACGTGTTCGCAACATATTCAGAATGTGTTTCCGGCGCTCTCTTCCCGTTCTCTAGACTTGTAAAAAAGGCATGTAAGAAGTGTATATTTCAATACATCACACAGGTCAATTTACAAAAAAAAAAAAAAAAACGACAGCGGCGGCATCGGTGATGGGGCATGGGGCCCAGGGGCGCCTCCCACGCCCCCATGGGTGCGTGGGACGGAATTGGGTTCTACCGGCTCTAGCGCTAGCCGCTAGCACGCCAGAACTGGTGGAAGTTCACTTCTTCACTAATCCTCGCTGGGAGGATCACTCGGCGGACCGTTAGGCACCGGCTCATTTGCGGCCTCGATGTCCCTCGGCAGCTGGCAGTGCCTGACCAGACGGTCTGCACGCCCCCCGTTCCGGTCGCAGCTTCCGGACAGCCACTTCGCTACCGCCTTGCCGACAGTAGGCCTGCCACAAGGCGCGCTGACGAGTTGCAGGACGTCTGCGGGAAGACATGAGGGAAAATCAGACATATTCAATTCACGAAAAAAATCACAAAAATACCTTCACCACTTCCCGTAACAGTGCGACAGGCTAGATCAAACATGTCAACACCTTAGAGGCTAGAGCTACAATGAACTATAGCCTAGACAGCACGATATTACAAGGCACAATCTTGCAAATGCTACTCGTAAATGGTACTTTGACTTACCAGTCAAAACAACAATCACATCAAGCGCAGACAACTGGCGCTATCTTTCATCTTCCAGCTACCTCAGCCGCGCCCGCCGCCGGTCCTCACTGCTTGCTCGGGCCGCGCAGACTGTGGCTCGGCCGGCTGGCTCTGAACGCCGCACGGTAGGCGATCGGGCCGGTCTAGCCTCGCGAAACCTCAAAGACGCTTTTTTCCGAAAATTGGAAAACAACGCATACTAGTCGACAAAAAATTCATCAAAGATTACGATTAGTGCATTTGCATGGCTCAGGAGACATTTTTTCGTAGACAAAAGTATCGTTAAAGACAGCGTTCCGTAACACTTCATAAGGGGGATAATCACAGCCGATTTTTACGCTCTTTGAATATTTTGCGGAACGATGAAATTGCTAGGTGTTGAGCATCCATTTTGCATGGAAAGTGAAATTTAGGTGTTTAGACGATTCCGCCATAGAAAGCAAGTAGACAAAATCAGTTCAAAATGTCTTATAATTAGGTTAACTTTTTATATTTTTTCTACCACTGAACATTACGTTCACTGAATTAACCAAGCCCAGCAAAAAAAGTTTTACGAGGATGAACTGAAAATAATGCTGTATCGCATGCACTAAGACACTATCTATTAGGGGAGCCAGTGAAAATTTGCAGCCACTTGCAGCCCTGGCATCCAGACACTTTTTTCTTCTAAGGGTTGGCCGTGGCTTGGTGCACTTGAGCACAAGGGGTAAATGCCCCAAAGGGTGTTTTCGCGATAGCTCAAAACACCCAGGCAATAGAGAGCTGCAACTTGGCATACCTGACCTTTGATGCACGCTGGATCTTGTGACACCAATTGCACTTTCAAGGCAGGTCAGGTCACTGACCTATGACGTCATAAATGAACCTCTGCACGATCCTTAGATATCGCAACCTTGCAACGCTCTCAGTGCCAGAGTAACTTTCACAGGGAGGTGAGACTTGCAGGACTTATTGTCCTTCAGAGGTCTTACAACTTGTATATCTCAGATTTTTCCTAAATGTCACAGAAAGTCAGGTTGGTCACGTGACCTCACCTATAAGTCAATGGGGAAATATGAAAACTGTTATTTTGGCGCTAGGAATGATATTCAATTGTCTCAAATACATGGAATCGCTACTTCATGCACTCATTGCAAGATCTGATGCTGCATTTTGGCAATGTTGACCTTGCATGACGTCATTTATGACGTCACTAGAGTCATACTAGTTTTTCGTCAATAACTCCCAATCAAATTGAGCTAGAGAGTCGACAAGGTCACCAATGGACTCCGGAAGACCTGCCGAATCGAATGATATGCGATATGACCTCCTTCGACCAACTTCGTGATTTGAAGACCTCTGACCTGACCTTGACTCGAGGTCAAGGTCAGGTTGACCTTACGGTGGCCTCACCTAAACAAAAGTATACCATTCGACGCGCCTGAGCAAGGGAAACACGACGATGTCAAAATCGTGGTTCTGCGGCCATTTTTTGCGAAGTTATGTACCAAAGTACCAAACCCGCTGCTTGGGTCACGTTATGAAATGGGGCCTTGCCGGGGGAGATTTACGCTGTTTCATGATATGTATAAATTGCCAGGGCATAATCGTTTGAATAAAATATTGGTTTGGAAGCAATTTTCTATGGAGGTACACACCATTTCAATGTCCTACCCAGCTCATATCGTCATAAATTTCGACCTACCCTCAAAAGTATTCATGCGTTATTCGAGCAGCAATTAGGCAAATTGCAAGCTCGCCACAGAGCACAAATCCTATAAGAGATAGTCCTTATTTAAAACATATGCTCATTGGATATTCAAGAAGGTTGCTCCTAAATATTGTGGTTCTAGCTTCAAAAACATGGATGTTATGAATGCCGATAGGTTTCGCGAGGCTACACCGGCCGGATCGCCCACTGTGCGCCGGCCGGTGACACTGACGTCACGGCCCCTCCGGCGAGGTCAGGGCGGCCGCCTCTGCTCGACACTGGCTGCCGGCGTGGCTCGCTGGCAGCCGCGGATAACAGCCGCGTTTACATAGGGATAGTTGCAAGCCTCTAGCTCCGCCTGTGATGTTGCAAAACATGCCAATGACGCTTTGCAATTTACACAATGATCTCATCTAAATATACGAAAAGTGCTACACCCGCGCCCCGCTGGGGGTCCTGGATTTCCACGCCCTGCTGGGGGGGGGGGGTGTTTGAACACCCCCCCCTTGTAACTCGGCTCCTGGGTCACGCAGCGATACGCGGAAGGCGGCGTTCGAAAGAGCGTAAAAAAATAATGACGAAATCACTTCGGTCAATTTTTTGGTCAGGTCAAAGGTCAGGTCACCAGAGGTTATTGAAGGCAAAATTTCGCCGATTTCCAGGTCGAATGTCGAAAATTTCCAAAAAGCTAACGCATAACTCGGGAACCAATAGAGCTACAGCGCCGCGGAAAAGCGCATTCGATAGCCCTATTAACGCCCTTTCTGAGTAATTCTCTCAGATTTGACCTAACGTCAACGGTTTTGCCTGCAGGGGGCAAAAGCTGCAAAAATGGCCGATTTTTTCGGAAACAGTTTTTCTGCAATAACTTTTGACCCAAGCCTTGTACGAGCTTACTTTTACCGGCATCGTGTTCCTCTCGTCAAGACGCATCGAATGAACTATAACTTGACCTTGAAAGGTCAACTTGAAAATTTGACCTCAGGTCAAGGTCATGACCTGACCGGAAAGGGTCATATTGCATATCAGTCGATCCGTATCGTCGAGCTGAACACATATAAGGCGTTTTCATCGCTCTAGCATGCCTCTATCAAAAGTTATTTGCGAAAAACTGTTAGATACCATTCGTGACCTAAGATGACCTCAGGGCACAAACAAGGGTCACGGACACCATTTTCATATTCAGTGTGTCTAAACCACTTGTAATTCGGTGTTTGGGAGTGTTTATAATGTCTTTTGTCCAAAAGAGGCGCATTTCAATTTTCTCCCATTGACTTATAATGGGGAGGTCGCAAAATTGACCTGACCTTAGGTCATCGATATCAAAATTCTGAGATATACATTTTGTACATGCTATTGCTCTTAGCAATCGCTGAAAGTTTCAAAGCGATCGGTCACTCGGTGTAGCTATGACAGACATTGAAACTTTTTATGAGGTGAGGTCACTTCAAGTGACCTGGTGACCTGACCTTGAATGACCTTGGTCTGAAATTTTCACAACATGTGTAGAATTGATGTATGATAAGGTGTACGAAAAACGGCGGCGCTCCGCGCCGCCGTTGTTGAGATATTCGCGAAAAACCACAAGGGGGGGGTGTTCAAACACCCCCCCCCCCAGCAGGGCGCGGGTTAAAATTATCGCAGAAGAAGTGAGCAACAGCCCCGACAAAAATGCTATGTAACCGGGCATATTGTTTGGGTGGCAGGGAGCCGGATTTGTGCCGGACTTGGCGGTCCGAAACCATACTAACTCCGGAGCGCTACGGCAAAGACTGGCTAACCAGAGTCACCATCAAATTAATACCCACCCGCCTTTTAACTGTATGCTATACAGTATATATATATATATATATATATATATATATATATATATATATATATATATATATAAACCATCACACTTTTGGTGAAAAATCAGATGTCTTCAGCGTACCGTGTAGATGAACGGGTCCTCAGAGATATCGTTCTTAAAAACATCCAGCCGGCACAAGACAATGTCAAAATCAAGCTCCAGATATACTACAAAAGTCGTAAAGTGCATTCACTGTTTATGAAAAACAAACCCACGCAGAACAATGACAAACTCAAACGCACCAACGTAATCTACAAGTATTCTTGCCCACACGAAGACTGCCTGCTTCGTAAAACAGATTACATTGGACTTACCACCACCACCCTTTCTCGGCGGCTCACAATGCACCTCCGTGACGGCGCACCCCATGACCACACAACACAGACACACCACAAACACATAACACAAGACTTGACGGACAACACGACTATCTTGACGATGTGCAACAACAGACGACGACTCCAAGTTCTTGAAGCTCTATACATTCGTAGAGAGAAGCCAAAGCTCAACAAGCAACTGTCGTCGTGCGTTACGCTAAGCTTATTCTCATAGGCCGGTAGTAGCATCATCCAAAACGATGTTAATATTGTACATAGATTACAGTGTAACATTGTATTGTGTGCGCGCTCGTGTAGTATGTTAAGCTTAACGGAGTACGGAACATTGTACATTGCTTCTCCGCAATGAGGATTCTACTCGCTAAGAACCTCGTTTTAACAAGTGTGAAAAACCAAAAATAACTGTCACAAAATGTCTCTTTGTTTGAAATCGTGTACCATGAAACATGTTTTACTTTATTTATCAACATTTGTGATCGCTCATGTCGTGCTAAACATAATTAAGCTTGAAAATGGTTTTGGAAAAGCCGAAACGTCGCTAGCTATAAATGAATACATGAACTTTGGGGATCTCATTTTTGACTTACCTCAGGATCAAAAACTTCTACTTCGACATATCGAACAAACACGCAAGAAGCTAACAAAAACAAGATATTCCCTGGCCTTCAACAAAACTTGTCTAAAAGAAAATGTTCTGCCAAAATACACTGATATATATATATATATATATATATATATATATATATATATATATATATATATATATATATATATATATATATATATATATATATATATATATATGTGTGTTTGTAAACTTCGGCAATAAATCTTCTTTTAGACAAAGACCATTAAACGTAATAGCACTTTCACATTTCGCATTTCACATTATTTGAACGAGTGTCTCACAGTGTACTTGAAAATGAATGTATAATACATTCGAAACGCGTCGAACTTTAACGAATATTTTTACATGAACTTTGCCGATCTGATACATCGTATTGACGAAAACAGCAAGAAAATAGTCAATAAGATCATAAAAACACAAACAAAGCTTTCGAAATGTGAAAGTGCTATTACGTTTAATGGTCTTTGTCTAAAAGAATATATATATATATATATATATATATATATATATATATATATATATATATATATATATATATATATATATATATATATATATATATATATATATATATATATATATATATATATATATATATATATATTAGAGGGAGAGAGGTGAATTTACTTGCAAAAACACCGCTAATTATTCAGTACCTATGTCAAGGTTGTGAAAAACCGTTTTAACAACGTGTTGGCGACCACCAGCTGACAACGTGAACAGTCCTAGTGTGAATACATGTCAAATTTAACAATGAAAACTGAAAATGCGCATTGGAAGTCAAAGGAAATGCGTTATATGGCCATATATGTCACCATGCATTATCAAAATATAATGTTGCAAGTGCGCGGTTGCTGCAACGTACCAATAAAACGTTGTCACAACGTTTTACCACAACTTTAGGACCAAACCATGGCTTCACAACGTTCAGAACGTTGCTAGAACGTAATTAAAACGTAATTTCGCAACTTACCGAAACACGACGTTGTGACAACGTTGTACTAACGTTTCCTGTTAGCTGGGTAGGTAAAGTTAAGTATGCTAAAAGATGGCTGGCCATTGTGTTTTTATCTTGTATTTAGTAGTATATACGAATTAATTTGTTTAATTCAAATGTCACTACACCGTGTCATCATCTCATTGCTCTGCGATGGCCTTTTTCGGACGAAGCAGCCTGCTCTCGGCAAAATAAGCCAACAAATCCTTTTTTTAATTCACAATGACTAAGCCTAGGTTGATCTCTTGTAGCCTGACTCATGAATGCATGCTATGAGGGCTGAGGCAATAAAGAGGATTGAGGTCGCATTGTTTTTCCAAAACACAACTGTTCACAATCAGCACGACCATGGAGCATCAGAATTCAGATGGTTAAAATAGTCTTCGTTGAACCTCTCAGAAACAATACATCGGAGTTCGGACTACAATGCGCGAGCTCCGGTTACATGGAAACCAGCGTCCAGCACTGCTTGACACACGTGCTGAGATTGCTTTATTGCATTGTGTCTGCATCCGGCGGCATATAATGCACGATTACGCTAATATTGCTGACCAATGCGACACATTGTTTGTCATGGGTTACTTCTATCGTAGAGCTACAATTGGACGAATATTACCGAGTGATTGATGTATGTATGCTGTTCTTAACGTGGTGCTTTTATGCATACGTATATCTAGGCACTGTGACCCATGTAAGAAATCGATTGTAGATGAAGTTCCTAAGAAAATATTTCAAAATCATAAGCAACTTTACATTTTGCTTGATTAAATGTTAGCAATAATGTTTTTATATTGCAAATAAAAATGAACGCAGGACGTACCATCGACAGCGACCCATGGCTAGAGGCGAACGGTACATTTCAAGCCATCCGGCATCCACATTTAAACGCTCCGGCCTCTGAACCCAGCGAGGCTATGCTTCTTACTCCAAGTAGAAGCCATCCACATTCCTCTCAAGTCCCAACTAGTTAGGTATAAAGGTTTAATTTGGGCAGTGATAAGCTGTTGGAAAAGCCACACTATAGCGTATTAGCTGCTTATGAGATCAATGCATCATAACTCAAAATTTGGCCATGAGAAGAGCTTATCATTTTCTTAGCCAATGTATTTCCTTGGAGATAAAGCTGTCTATTGAATGAAGTTTGAGCAATGAGCATTGCCGGCAATCGGTGCATCCCAAGTGGCGAAACTTGGTGATTTCTGCAGGATTTACTGGAAACAATGACAACATCGACACCCTCAGACGCAGTACCGAGGCGCTGGAAAATCCGGCCTAAAGACGCACGGAAAACCGGTTTCCGTGCAGAGAGGATTGCAAGGAGATAGGGGCATTGAGCGCAGCTGCTGAGGTTCAACCTACATTCAGTTTAACCCTGAGCACAGAATGACGTACAATATACCTAACATATGTGACATTGCCAAAAATACAGGACCATGAACAGAAGCCTTGATTGAACAAATCAATGGCATTTCTCAAATCTCTCTATAACATCTCCTAACTAAAACTTGCATATCTGTGAGAGAGCACATGTTGTGCACTCAATGTGCAGGTTATCGAAATTGCAAAGCTTGTCTGACTAGTTCTCTCCGCCGCCGCGAGATGTCTCCGCTGTCGTGCTAATCCAAGGAAGCGGGAGGGCTCGGGAGGGCTTGCGGTCGCCCTGCGGTCTCGAGTGACGGCGCACTGCTCCTCTGACAGGGCACGCGGTGGTGGTGACCTGCTATTGCGAAGATGCAGCTGGCGGTGGTTTTACTGTTTGTGACTGTGTGTGTGATCGGTGGAGAGGCTGCAGCACGTTTCGAACCGTCGGAAATTCACCCAGGTGAGAGTATGCTTCAAGTTGTATTTTGTACCTTAAAAAAAACTCGGTTTTATCGGACAGTTTTGTGGTCTTTTCGGGGTCTTTATTGCCTCTGCTTCAGCGAATTGCATTGTCAACTTTGTCACATTTCATAAAAATCTCGAAATTGGCGATGACTTGGCGCCACGAATGCCACGAAATACATGCGCTTTAAAGGGACCCTCCCACCTTAACATTAGATTTGAGTTGAGATAGCCAAAATGGGGTCCCTGGCTCACAATTACCGGTTTCGGCACTCACAACATCGAGAAATGCCTTAAATCGGAAATATTGAATTTCAAAATTGCAGCATTTTGATTCAGAGGGGCTAATGCTTAGGAATACCCCTCTGAATGTGTGACGTCAGCGCAGATATCTAACGATTTTTAAATGTTTGACTAAAACGTTTTGTAGCACGCGGTGGTATATGCTATTTGCGCGCAACATCTGCCGCAAACGCCGCACTTCTAAAATAAAGTCGCTAGAAACAGCGGAGATCCCAAAAAAGTAAACAAAAGTAAAAGTCTAATATCTTGAAAACCGGTGAACATTTTTCGGTGAAATTTGGTAGATATTCGTTTTCGCTCTTTCTGAACCGAGCGACATCATTTTCATGCCAATTCATAAACTTTTTTGAAGGTGGGAGGGTCCCTTTAAAATTCGCTTCCTCTCTACGGTGACTCAAAAACGATGACACAATTTAAAACAAAAACAAAAAACAAGTGCATGTCACCCGCCCATATTTTATTGTTAACACGAGGAAAATACAGTTAATGCTCTAAAAATGTAATTTGTGTAACATCTTTGCATGTAAATGTGACTGTTCCTTTTACACATCTGTTGCAGGCCACGAAAAAGAATGCTACGTTCATGAGATCAGAGGTTACCTGAAGCCGGGCAAAAAGAGATATCTGGCAAACTGTTCGGTCGTGGAGTGCACGAAAGAAAGGGGCGCTCTATATCTGTCCTTTTTATCGTAAGTATTATACATTAGCATGCATTATAAATTATAAACAAAGTACCTAGATGTAAACAACAGGTATAGCCACACAAGCTCTTTACACCTTAATTGGATAGGTAATAAAATCTCGAAAGCGGCGAGCAACATTCGTTTATAGAAATATCTTTCGCCAATCAATTTGAGTTTGACCATCTGCAGCGCTTCATTCTAATTGAATTCGATAGGACATTTTTAGCGCTGAGTACCTCTACCTAAGTTGCAATCTTTCTTTCTACGATCAACTATATATGCAATCGTTACACCGTGGGTCCTAACATCATTTCGTTTGTTTTCAGGTGCGGCGTGGTCGCTCACCACCCCTCGTGCACACCGATACCCACTTCTCGGTTCGCTGTCTACCCAGAATGCTGCATAGAGTACGACTGTCCTCCTGGGGCTGGCATCTCAAGAGTCGGCTAGCTGCAGTGATGCCATATGAAGTTTTTGTACGCAATTGCATGTGATGCTCTTATGTAGTTTGAGCGGTCCCGAGGTTTCACTTCACTGACCTGTGTAACTTGCGATCTCCTTGTGGATTGTGATGTCTTACGCGTGTTTGCTGGTGCTTTCTTTTTGACTTTAGAAGTATCTGCTAAAAATGGAAATATATTTTCTTCTAAAGTCAACCTGTGGGTGGAGAATATATTTTTGAAACAGGAGCATTTACCAAACGTGGTTCCAGCAGGCTTGAGCAATTGCGATCGTGCATCATACAGGGCTTTGTTAAACTACTCGTGATTAGTTTCGGATGCCATTTCATAGAAGTGTGCCAAATATCAGCGGTTTACTCACCACACAGATTACCACAACTCAACGGTTTACACAACCGAAACCGGTAAACCAAGCGTTTAAACTTTATCGACGATGGCGTGCATATTAAAAATAAAAAATAAAAAACACATCAAAACTAAATTAAATAAGATCACTCATAATGGTGGCGTAAAACAACATTGCAAACATGTATGAGGTACACCATCTTCTAAATGCATAAGCGCTGACATCCTTTCTTACATCTTTTGTCCGATTCTAGGAAAGGGCATTCAAGATCATTCTAGCGGACGCTTACGTGCTTGACTGTGAAATTTGACGAGATGAACATGAACAACTTCGTTTAATCCCTGTTGTTTATATAATGGCTCCGGAAGAGTCAGCATGAAAATGCCACGAAATACCACAGCTCGTCTACGTCGCTGATTCAAATCAAATCTGATCCTCCAGCCACAAATCAGCTTCACTTACCGCAATCAAGTCTCGACAGGCACACCAATAAGGGCGAATCACGCCCGCGACGAGCGCCAAAATGAGCCTTACGGTCGACATGTCCCTTTAAACTCGACACCGGGAGAGCCAGAGTGGCCCCCCACCCCCACCCCCTCCCCCAAATCGATTTGGTCTCGGTGACGTTCTGTGATGACGTCACGCAGGCCAGGCCGGGGGACCTGTTGCTCTGGCTCGGGCGGGGGCGGGGGCGGGGGCGGCAGAAGACACGCGTGCGCCGGTTTGGTCTCGCGCTCACCGACGGTGTTACCACTGCCAGTTGCTCGCCTGAGGGCACGAGCGCAGGTTGGACGTCCGTGACGTCAGAATCAGCTGACTCAGGTGAGGCTGCCACTGACGGCTGTCGTGGAGAGCTGGGCTGGTGTTTATATTGAGACACTATGATAGTCGTCGGGTGTGTTTTTGTGCAATAAAAATGTATTTCATCATTGGTCAAACAATTTCGAAACAAATGGGTCACGAAATATAATTATTATGCTTTGGTATTAGCTATTACATGTCTGTATTCTCGATATGTATTCTCGCTCGGCAATACCACTCCGGGCGTCGCTTAATTGTGATAAGGTTAAGATTCACGCGCAAATACCTGGCTAACTTACATGTTACAGCAATAACCAAGCGAGCAGCAATCACATGGTTATTGCCACCCATCATTCCCTGATTTTTACGAGAAGCAAATGTCCAAACATCCATGTTTGTGACTTGTTGTGCCATAGTCCTGCGCATCTTCGTCACTTATTGCAATGCTGAATAGTCGTCGTTAAACGCTTGATTAGGGAAGCAACAAATGAACACATGTAAAAATGTTCAACAGGTAATGCTGGGTCCCAGAGAGCATGCGCAGAACACACCCTATAGACTCATTGTGAAAAGAAACAAAAATAACTAGCTCTGTAGACTGCAGGTATACGCTTAAAAAAAACATTCGTAACATATCCCCATATAAATCCCCCAAAGTGTGCATCTCAAATTTTCCGACCTTCGAAAGCATCTGGAAAGTAGGAAGCGTTATTTGCTGTATGGTGGAGGAAAAAACTTCAACGCCTGCCACACCTTGAATGATATTTGGTTCAAATGTGAGGCATATTTCCATCTTATCTGACGTCACTCCACATAACCGCCGGATGCCGGTTCCCGAGCTGCCAGAAACGGTGAAAAGGAACGATACCACACCTCCGAAATTGGTTACGGTTGGCTCAATTCGATAGCTCTGCTCGATACATGTTGAATGTATGAGACGGAGACGTCGGTGGTATCTGCGTTTCAATGGCAAGCAATCAGCCTCGTGTTGTTTTGTAACACATTGCAATGTAGCGATACGAAAGGTCTCCAAATTCCTCCGTTAAATGTTGATAACTTCTTAATTGGTTTTCTAAGTGAAAACAGTCACGATATGACAAAAGTTAACAAGTCAGTAGACAGTATCACATGCTTCACACTGCACCGTGCAGTATGTAATTGTAGAGTCCCCGATGGCTCAGATAGCATATACGAGTAGACCTAGCATGTAGATTAATTTCCCAGACCACCACTCTTTACCCCAACTCAACATCCCCTAGCAACACACAGCGTGGGATTCTTCCGGTTAACCACAGACATATTAATAGATGAAAGTGCAAGTTTCTCACAATTCCCACCCACAAGACTAATGCATCTCGAGCTATAACTAATGTTAGTTCGAACGCCCACTGACCCAGTGATGCCTTTGGCTGACTGCATAGTCAAATGAAAGCTGACGGATCATTCAGAACTGATCGGATTAATTCATTATCCCTCTGATTTAATCGACTTTGGAGAGTTTAATAGTGCTAAGAATGCATAATGCCTGATGAAACCGTTTAGCTTAATTGGCAACAATCAATGTCAGTCAGCCCCATGACAACCGATCATGTATTGTAGCAGCACGCCTACAAAGCAGCATGCCAGTACAAGAACATCTTTATCGGTTTGAACAAACAGGGGTGAGGAAATAAAAGCAAGCCAGAGTTTTCTCTCGGCGTTCTAAAAACAGCAGTCTTAAAATCACACTGTTCTGTTATTGACTTCATATCAGTGATTCCCAATTCATTGGTATTGATACAGTTACAAGAGAGATCCGTGTCGTATTGGTGCCCTACCTCATGTCTCGGCAAGCGAATCGAAGCTCCGAAGCATTACTAAGGCAGGAACAGTGATTGTCACCCACAGAATACGCAGCGGATGGGTGACATATAGCCCCAGTACCGTCTATTGCGTGCCAGCGTCGTATCCGATCCGCACAATTGACGATAATTACACCCAGGCTGAGGTAAACAAGGGTGGCGTACACACAGACATACAGACACACAGACAGACAGACAGACAGACAGACAGACAGACAGACAGACAGACAGAGTGCCGCACACAAACACACAACCGCCGTCACCTCACCTCGAGATACGCCAAAGTGGGTCGTCATTTTGGGACGCATAGTTGTAAATGTGTCATTTATCTGGACACAATATCACTCTTGCAATATTGCGTCCCTGAGAGCGGTGGAACGGGGACAGCAGTTTGTTACGTTAGTCTGCGGCAGAGTCGAGAGGTATATGCTGTATATTGTAGAGGGTACTAAGAGGGAAGGGATGTGCAGCAGAGAGTGGAGTGTGGAGTCAGTGAGTGTGGAGTGGAGTGTGCTTGAGAGTGGAGAAGTATGCTGATTATTAGATAGAGGGCCTGAAAAAGGTCGGTGGGTGGGATTTATTGAAATATCTTGCATCTCTCCTCTCCCCTCTCTCTCTCTCTCTCTCACTCTCTCTCCCTCTCCCTCTCTCTCTTCTCTTCTCTTCGTCTTCTCTTCTCTTCTCTTCTCTTCTCTTTCTTCTTCTCTTCTCTTCTCTTCTCTTCTCTCTTCTTCTCTTCTCTTTCTTCTCTCCTCTTTCTCTTCTCTTTCTCTTCTTTCTCTTCTCTTCTCTTCTCTTCTCTCTGTTTCTCTCTCTCTCTCTCTCTCTCTCTCTCTCTCTCTCTCTCTCTCTCTCTCTCTCTCTCTCTCTCTCTCTCTCTCTCCCTCTCGAGCTTTCTTTATTTGTAACATATCCTAGTTGTTTTCTTGATAAAATCACGGAGATCCCTATCGTCGGCATATCGCTTTTTCACCCTGAATGCTGTCAAAGCACACAACGACGAAAAGAAAATGACATCTGCAGTCACCATCAATGATATCCTTTGTCCGTGAAATTCCCAGGCCTGCAAACCATAAATCCTTTCAGGGAAGATGTGTTGTGATTCACCCAAGCATGTGCCCAACAAAGCGGCTCAAATCGAAAGCCGAGCTGTGGTACAGTTGTTTGCAGGGTCAATAGGTAAGGTAATAAAGTATGAATGTATTTGAAACGCCGTGATCATCCTAGTGTAAGACAGGGCATCGAAAAAGAAAGGTTATACAGTTATTTTAGCACTGTAAGGCCTTAACAGTAGAACTACATAAAGTACATAAAAAGGAAGCGCGACTTTACTCTTGCAAGAGCTGTTGTCAGCAGGGGCGGATCCAAGGGGGGGGTCACATGGTCATGGCCCCCCCCCTTGAGGCCCAGGGGCCCAAAGACCTGCCAGGGGCACCACCGGCCTATCAGGGGTATCACAGTCCTGACAGGGGCACCACAGGACCGCCAGGGGCACCACAGGCCTAGCAGGGACACCACGGCCTGGTGCCCCTGGGCCCTGACAGGACTGTAACGCCCCTGACAAGCCTGAAGTGTCCCCGGCAGGCACGTGGTGCCCCTGACAGGCCTGAGGCGCCCCTGCAAGGCCGGTGGTGCCCCTGGCAGGCCTGTGGTGTCCATGGCAGGCCTGTGGTGCCCTTGCTAGGCCTCTGGTGCCCCTGACAGGCTTGTAATGCCCCTGGAAGGACTGTGGTGCCCCTGGCAGGCCTCTGGTGCCCCTGACAGGCTTGCGGTGCCCTTGGAAGGACTGTGGTGTCCCTGGGCCCTGACAAGCCTGAGGTGCCCCTGACAGGCCCGTGGTGCCCTTGTTAGGCCTGTGGTGCCCCTGGCAGGCCTCTGGTGCCCCTGGCAGGTCTGTGGTGCCCCTGGCAGGTCTGTGGCGCCCCTGGCAGACCTGTGTTGACTGGTGCCCCTGCTAGGTCGCTGGTGCCCCTCACAGACCTGTGGTGCCCCTGGGCCTTGACAAGCCTGAGATGCCTGGCTATGACAGGCTCGTGGTGCCCCTGATAGAACAGTGGTGCCCTTGCTAGGCCTGTAGTGCCCCTGGCAGGCCTCTGGTGCCCCTGCTACCCCTGCGCCCGGAGAGGACTATGGTGCCCTGAAAAGCCTGAAGTGCCTCTCGACAGGCCCGTGGTGCCCTGACAGGCCCAAGTTACCCCTGCGAGGTCGTGGTGCTCCTGACAGGCCTCTGGTGCCCCTGGCAG